CGGGCACCAGGAAAGAACAAAGGCGAACGTAGCACCATCGCGCAAAATATGCAGGGGCTCAGGAGCCCTCCTACATACTCACGAGAGGGGGGGTGCTTCGGCGCGGCACCTCCTTCTCCTGCTTCTCCTGGTAGGCTGCCGAGCACTCGTCAAACAGGCGCGGGTCCATCTCCATGAAGAGCTTGACCACGTTGCAGGTGAGCCCGTGCACCGTCTGGCGGGGAGGCGGGCGCGTGCTGGCACGGGCAGGCGGTGCTGGCACGGGCAGGCGCGGCGGGAGGCGCGAGGAGAGGCTCGCGAGGCGGGGTGGGGGGCGCGGAGCGGCCCGGGGGCGTGCAGAGAGTGCGCTGAAAGAGGAGAGGCGTGCCTGGTTCCAGTGTGAGCGCGAGTTGGTGTAGAGCGCTCCAAAGACGATGGGCAAGATCTGGTCGCGGTTCTGCGCGATGAGCGAGACGATGTACTCGTTGTTCCACAGGAAGAGGGCACGCTCGGCCACCTGGAAGTAAGGTCAGGCCAGGTAGGTAGGGGGGGGGGGGGGGGGCAACCCTCGCCAACACTCCACGTCTAAAAGACAGGAGCCCCACGGCATTGAAAGTGCAAGGCCCAGTGCGCGTGGTTGAGCAAGGTGTGTTGATGTGTGTGTGTGTGTATCTTGGTGCGTGTGTTTGTGTGTGATGTGTATGTGTGTGTGTGTGTGTGTGTGTGTGTGTGTGTGCGTGTTCGTGTGTGGCCACCTGGAAGTGCGGCGACTCTATGCAGCGCGCGATCTGCGCAAAGAGCGGCGCCATGACGTTGACGAACTCCGGCGCCGCAATCATCTCGAGGATCTCCTCAACCTCGCTGAGGAAGAGCACCTCCTTGGGCGAGTGTGTGCACGGCCAAAACTTGAGGATCGCCTCGAGCACCGGCTTGGCAAGCTTCGGGTCCTTCTCCACAAACTGCGTCACGCAATACGAGAGTTGCTGGTGGTACATGCCGACAAAGCGCACCTGTCGGGGGGAGGGCGGCCGAGGTCGTCCGAGCTGCACAGTCTGGCCCGGGGCGGTGGCCGCCGGCGGCGGCGAGAGCCTTGTGCAGCGGCAGCAGCGCGCGCAGCAGGAACGACTTGTGCTCCTCCTTCAGCGGCAGCGCAAAGCCGTTGATGATGGAGCCCAGAATCTCGAGCAGCTCGGCGATGCCTGCGCGCGCCAGAAGTGCCGCCGGGTGGATCGGCAGGGTTGCGCGGCGGGTGCGCAGCAGCGTCGCGGCGGCGCGGCGGCGGCGCGGCGGCGTCGCTGCGGGTGGTGCGCGGCGAAGGCCGGGCGGGAGGGGGGCGCGCCGTTGTGCCGCTCCGTTTCGTAGATGAAGCGGTAGAAGATGTGGTTGATGGCCTTGCGGATGAAGGCGCGGTAGGGCATGAACTTGCCGTAGATGCGGTGCAGGATCGTCTTGAGGTAGTCTCGCTCGCGCGGGTCCTACCCATTCCACCGACCCGCCCGAATCATTGTGTGCGCGCGCGTGCGTGCGTGCGCGCGTGTGTGTACAGCGTGGGTGTGCAGTGCGCGTGGTGTGTCGGTGTGGGTGTGTCGAGTGTGGGTGTGAGTGTCGAGTGTGGGTGTGCAATGTGCCTCGGAGTCAAAGAGGTCGAGCAGCCGGACAAGGAACTGCGTGTCGACGTACTTCTTGACCACCTGAAACCGAAGTGTGCGGACGACGTGTCATGGCCGCGTGCGTGTGCGTGTGGTGTGGACGCGTGTCAGCGGTCGGTGTCGCGGGGAATGTGGCTATGGGGAGATTTGGGGAGACATGGACAGGCGTGTCTCGGAGACCAAGGGCAAATCCAAGTGCGGCGTACCTTTGGGTCGGTCTCGTTGGAGACGACGAAGCGCAGCAGGAACTCGTACACGTACTGCAGGTGCGGCCAGGCGGGCTCAAGCACCGGCTCGTCCTCCTCCGGGTCGTACTGCGCGTGCGCCTGTCCCAAGCGGCGCGTGCGCGCCAGTCGGAACGGGCAGCGAGCGGAGCGGCAACGTGGCGGCGCGGCAATGCGGCGCGCAGCGACGGCGGCGATGCGGGGCGCGGCGGCGGCGGCGATGCGGCGCGGCGGCGGGTCGGCGGCGGCCGCGCACCGGCTGGCTCGCGGGCGCGAGGCCGCGGAAGAGGTTCTGCGCAATCATCTGGATGATCTCGGGAAACGTCTGCTCGTTGAAGACATTCTTCGTGTTGTTGATATAGTCCATAATCTCGAGCAGGCTCTGCCGCTTGATCTCCTTCTCGCGCACGTCGCTCTGGTCCGCAAAGTCCATCGGCCACGCGCACAGCTGCAGTTTCTTGATGAAGAGCTGCTGCCGCTCCGGCGCGCTGACGTCTTTGAAGGCCGGCAGCGGCTCGATGACCGGCGGCTTTTCCGGCGCCGTCCGCACGCCGGCCCCTGCGCCCGGCTTGGGAGACGAGCCTGCGCGCGGCCGCGGGCAGGGGTGGGCAGCCGCCGTGTGCAACCTCGGCGCGGATGGCCGCATCGGTGAGCGAGGGGTGGATGTGGACTCGTTCCATGCGTTTCATGCTTGCGGCGCTGCGCACCCTGCTTGCCGCTGCGGTCGCTGCTGCCTGCGGTTGCCGATGCGGCCGCGCCTCCGCCCGGAGTCGACGGCTTGCGGGTAGGCGTGCTGGCGGTCGCAGGGGCCGCCGCGGAGGTCGCGGTGCGGCTGTCCGTTCCCTGCGGCGGGCGAGCACCCAATCGGTCAGAGCCTAGATATGTTCAAGGCAGGGCGCAGGCGCGAGCTCCCAAACGCCCCGCGCTCGAGAGGAGATACGCAGATGCAGGGCGCGCGGGCGACACGGCAGAACGCAGCCCGTGCGCTTGAGTACACTCGGCTGACGCTGCGGCAGACGCAGGGGAGTGCGGTGGGTGCTGTGCAGGCGGAGGCGCGCCAGCTTCTTCTTCATCAGATGCATCTGTACCCCGCCGCGCGACTGCGCCTGTGTGCCGGCCTACAGTCGATACGAGGGTGAGCTCCGCCGAGACGCGGGGCACACCGGCTGTTCGGCAGCGCGCCTCTTCGCAAGGCTCGCCTCGCCGTCGCGCGGTTTTCTTTCTTTCTTTTTCTGGGCAAAGTCAGGCTGCAGTGCAGCACGATGGTAGTGCCCTGCTGCAGCCTGGCCTGACATGCACAGGGCGAACAGAGACACTACTATCGTCTGGCGCTCGTCACCGAACCTGGGCGAACTTCGACCGCCGCCACAGCTCACCACGAGCACGCAGCGACAAAATGTTGACTGTATGGAAGTTGAGGCTTGTCGAGAGGAAGAGGCTGCCGTGCGAGCCGGCAGCTGGCTGGCTCGGGTGGACTGCCCGCAGCGTCTTTTTTCGGCTTCTTCATTCATAGTAGCGTAAATGCTACTTCGTTATACCCTTTATGCGAGTAGAGCATAAAGAAATCGAGGGCGTGATTGCCCGGCGAGGAAAAACTCCCGCCTGCTGTGCAAAGTGAGAAAGAAGTGCTTGGCCCTGGATGTGCGGTTAATGACTGCACTCCAAGTGCTCCAAGTGTCTCACTGCGCTCGCCCCAGCACCGACTCTCCACGTACCACGAAAACCATCGCGCATCGTCGGCAGAATTCTTACTAGAGCAAAAAGAATTTTACAAAAAGAAAGTGCGGACGCAGGGCCGGCGGCCCGGATGGTCACTACCGTCAAAAAAATGGAGCTAGGCTGCGGGAGACATGGCCGCCGATGCGGCTCGCACTCGCTCGGCGGGCCTCCGTCCCACAGCCGCCCGGGCGTGCCACGGGTCTGCCTGGCGCTGCGCTGCTCGCACGCTGCACTGCACAAAGCTGCGACAACAAGGGGAGGCTCCTGAGCTTGAGCGTTGAGCAGTGCAGCTGCGGGCGCTCGTGGGCGGCTGTGCAGTGGTGAGAGTGCCTGATTGGAGGCGAGCTGGTGCTGCGCCAGGGTGCGCAGCATGCGCTCTTGCTCTGTGCTGAGGCATGCTGGCTGGCGACCAACACAATGCCCTGGATGCATTGCTCCACGCCGTGCTGGCTGGTGCAGTGCTGCCAGTGCGCCGACTGGCGCGCAGGGTGCGCGTCGCCGCGCGTGGCACGGGTGGCTCGAGAGGCGCGGCTGTCGTTCAACCCCGCGGCGCATGTGCGCCGCGGAAGCTGCTCGACAGGCTGCGGGCATCGCTGCGGCAGAAAGCGCCCGCCCTCTGCTTTGCTTTCGCCCGCGTTTTACGACAACTTTCGGTTTATCATAGCCGGCGAACTTTACCTCGCTGTTTCTTTATAGGCGTCTCGCAGCTGCGTATTTTCGTATTATCTTCGAGTAGTTGCGTGGGGGCGGTATGTATTCTCGTATCAGTAGTTAGTGTCGTGTCCACTAGCTCCGAGTAGAGGGTGCGTTCTGCTGCTAGGGGAAACCCGGAGCGCGGTACTATCCCTCGGAGAGTATTCTTTAGCTCCGAGTAGAGGGGGCGTTCCGCAGCTAGGGGGACCCACAGCGCGAGGGAAAAATTCCGCCGCTGGGGGAAACCCGGAGCGCAGAACCAACCCTCGGAGACCCGTGTTATGGCCCTGCGACCGCGCAACCCCCCACGGTCGAGGATGAGGGTGCGTTCTGCAGTTAAGGGGTAACCCGGTACACGGAACTATCCCTCGGAGACGTGTTATGGCCCTGCGACCGCGCACCCCCCCCTTACTTAGCTCTTAGGGGTCAGGGCTCTCTAGCCCGTAGCCCGATCCCGATCATCCGGCCCGCTGGGTGCGCTTCTGAGCTCCCCGGCCCTGGATGTGAGGCTACCAACTGCACTCCAAGTGCTCCAAGTGCAGGGTGGCATCTCCTCATCATCAGTCATCACGCGCCAAGCGGGAGGGAAGTGGACGGGGCCCTGAGCCGACGTATTATAACACAGGTGTAGGGGGGGTGAACGATGAAAAAATAAAACAGTCGACACACGACACGACCTACCGGCGGCTACCGGAAAGGCGCAGAAGGGGGGGCGGTGAAAGAAAAAAGAAAAACATTCAGCTCTTCTTCTGTGAGGATCGGCGGCAGAGTTCTTGCTAGAGCAAAAAGAAAGTGCGCAGAGTGCCCCTCGGCAGCGCGCCTCTTCGCAAGGCTCGCTCCTGCTATCGGCGAGGCAAGAAAACTGCGCGCGTTTGAGTCGGTAGCGAGTAGGCGCGCCTTGCTTCGACCCCTCGGCCGGAAAAAAATCCGCACACGGCGCGAGGCCCTCGCTCTCGAGGTTCTCGAGGTTGATATCCTTAGTTTGGCCGCGTTGGGTAGCGAGAGGTCCTCCGAGGAGGATTGGGCACCGCTTGCTTGCCGGAGTGAGAGAGAGAGAGCAAGCAGAAAGCATGGCGGCGTGATCCGCGCGCGCTGCACACCGGCTAGGCAGAGGCGCAGCCTTGCTTTGCGAGCGAGCCCTTCGGCCGAATTAATTCCAATCGCGGGAGGCAGGAGTGCGAGCCTTGCGAGACGCGGCTGTCTTCGCTCACCTGGTGTTGTGTGGGGACTGGTTGGGTAGTAGTCTAAGTTCTGAGCCTCGAGGCTGAGCGGGTCTAAGTGTGACTAGTCACGCTGGGGTGCTTACGCGGTCTAAGATCAGCGAGAGCCTCTTACATCGGCTAAGTCGGCCGTGGCACAGCCTGGGGCCAAGAGGCTCCCACCGTGATCAACGATACGGCGCTAGCCCCCAAATTTTCTTCGCCTGCGGCGGGCGCCTTCTAATCCGGATCGATCCTCCTCATGCCTCAGCAATCGCCGCCTCAGCATCCTCCTCTTCCGATTCTCGTTGCTCTTCTTGAGCGCAATCTCTAGCCAAACATTTCTCACATAAATAGCCTCAAGCTCAAACAAACGCATGTCAGAGAAGCCTGTGTATGCGCTGGTCCTCTTTGAACGATCCGCGCGTGAGGTAGATCTAGCATAGGGCCTTGTTGGCAGCAGCCAGCTTGTTGCGCTGCTTCGCGTTGCGATGAGCTGATTGGGATCGCACAAGTGCATGCCAAGCACCGCCACGATCTTGAAGCAGAACACATCGCAACCGCATCGTCCGCACTGCCATCAGGGCGAGGGCGGCCGCCTCGGCCACGGAGAGGACGTGTCGAACCAGCTGCTACCGAAGAAGGTCGAGATGTGGGCGCTGGGGCGATGAGCAGGCAAGGCGGGGTGAGTGCGAGGCGGGGAGGAGCCGAGGAGGAGCACTAGGCCTGTCTACACATGTATGCCTGGGCTGCACCGCTGGCGGCACGCTAGAGCTTTCGAGATCGACCTTTCCTAGAAGGTTCATACGCGAGCTACGAGCTACGGGTCTGGCGTTTTGGAGGTCGCTGACTCGCTGTCTCCTCAAAAAAATGAGTATGTGTGCGTGTGCGCGTGTGGTGTAAACTCGTGGCGGCGCGGCCGTCTCTCCTCCCGGCACATCTCCCTCCCTGGCGCTTTTGGGCACCTACGGTAAGCGAGCCGTATGTGACGCGTGGGATACGTGAATCGTGATCTACGACAAATAGGGACAATCGTCGACCCAGCGTCGACCATGACGTTGTCACGTTGACGACAAGGACAACACCGACGCAACCCTCCCGGGCGCGGCGCGGAGCGCGCGCGGTTCGCCCGCGGAGGTGTTCACCCGTGTTCACACGTCGCGTGGGCGGACAACCTACCTTTTTCCCCTGCGTCCCTTGTGCCTTGAGAGTTTGAGTTAATAGGCAGTAATGTGTAACTGTACCTAAGAAAAAGAGTGTCACTGGAGTGGTGTGCTAGCAGGTCAAACTCTCGATCACTCGGCACTCTTCCGTTTCCCGAGGATCTCAGACTCGAGCCCCGCGACGAGAGGCCGCATGCGGTCGGCCCTGCGGCCCGCTTTGAGCGAGACGTTGCGGAAGCCCATCTGCGCCGGGTCCCCGTGCAGGTAGGCATGCACGTAGCGGTCCATCCTGCCGCGCTCCTTGGCGCAGTGGTGCATGAATGGGCGCTGGCGAGAGGGGTGCTGCTGGTCTTGCGCATAGGGCCCGTCATCGTCCGCCTCGCCGCTGTACGCGCGCCGCACGGCCTCGTCCGCCCACGCGCGTGCGTACTGCTCGCGCACGTCCCGGTCGCAGAGCGTGCTGAGGAAGCGCCAATCCTCCGGACCCATCGCGCGCATCTCCACGCCCCGGCTCATCAGCAGCTCGAGCCCCTCGCGTGCAGACTCGGAGCGCTGCGACTGCACCTACTCTCGTGGAGCCTCGGGCTATCTCGGTGGAAACCCGCGCACGGACTCGAAGCGCTGCGAGTCGAAGCCTTGCGGTCGAGCTCCTCCTTGTGCGTGTTGTCGATCCACGCCGCCTTGTAGATGTCGGCGAGGATGCAGGTGAGGCGCACGTTGAGCGGCTTGAGCGTGCCGTCGTACCAGCGGCACAGCTTCTCGGTGCAGCTGGTCGGGTGGCCTAGCCGCGGCCAACCTCGGGTGATCTCGGGTGATCTCGTGTGCCCTCGATGCAGCAAATGCGGGCCGCCCTCGTACGAGCGCTGCGCGTACTCCTCCCGTGCGAGCATGCCGCGCGGCACCTGATCTCGGGGTGGTCTTGGGGTGATCTCGGGGTGATCTCGGGGTGGTCTCGGGGTGATCTCGGGTGATCTCCCGCGCGGGCGTGCGGCACCATGCCGCCCGAGTAGTGGCACGGCTGGTACGTCATGTACAGCTGGAGCTCGACCTGATCTCGACCAGCCTCGCCTCATCTCGGGCAATCTCGGCGGGCACATTATGGACAGCTGAAGCTCGACCTCGACGTCGCCGGCGCCGCTGCCGCGCTCGCCCTCGCCGCCGCCGCCCCTGGCCTCGCCCCCGCCCTCGCCTCCGGCCTCGCCGCCGGCCTCGCCGCCGCCCTCGCCGCCGCCCTCGCCGCCGCCCTCGCCTCCGCCCTCGCCCCCGCCGGCCTCGCCCCCGCCGCCCTCCTCGTCTCTGATCTCCCCGCTCTCGCTCTCGCTCTCGCTCTCGCCCTTTCCGCCGCTAGCCCCCCCGCCGCCCCTCTCGCCCCCCCCTCCCTCACCGCCGCCGCCCTCGCCGCCCTCGCCCTCGCCGCCCTCGCCGCCGCCGCCTTCGCCGCCGCCGCCCTCGTCGCAAACCTCGCACACGGCCTCCCCGCCCCCGCCCCCGCCCCGGAGCCTCTCGATGGCGCGCATCAGCTTGTCGTCGGCGAGCATGAACGCCTAACCTCGCGCAGCCTCGGGGTCCTCTCGCACAATCTCGACCAGGCGTGCCAACGGGCGAGCGGCGACGGCCTCTGCATGCACGTTCACCTCAGAGCCGCCCCGGAAGCAGTTCGAGTAGCGGGCGACATACACCTCCCTGCCGCCCGCGCACAGCCGCGCCACGACGACCACCTGACGACTTGGCGCACCGGTGACACCCTGTGCGTTGCGCCATACACACCTGCGACCCGCACCTGCGACTTTCCGCACCGGTGGGTCGCCGGGTCGCCGCCCAGCGCCGGGTCATGCTGCCTAAAGGCAGGGGCTAGCACGGCATTCAAACTGTGGTGTGTGTGTGTGTGTATGTGTGTGTGTGTGTCTGTCTGTCTGTGTGTGTGTGACTGTGTGTGTGTGTGTGTGTGTGTGTGTGTGCGTGTGACTGTGTGTGTGTGTGTGAGGGGGGGGGGGGGTGCGTGTGTGCGGGGGCCATGCTGCCTCAGGCAGAGCCGGACGCCCGCCTCCTTGGAGTTGGCGTGGTAAAAGGCGGCGCAAAAAGAGTGCAGCGAGCCGAGCAGCGAGGCGTTGTGCGCGGCGCGGCGCGGCGCGTGTGAGCGGACGGCGTGGTCGCCGTCCGCCTCGGGAAAGAAGAGGCAGCGGCTGAAGGGCTTGTTGCAGAGGCAGCCGATGTGCTCCTGCGTCAGGACGCCGAGGTCACTTCGTTTGAACTCAACTCGTTTAAGCTAGACGAGGAGCGTCGTCAGCCCACGTCAGGAAGACGCCGAGGTCGGGGGGGGAGGACGGTCTCGCGCCGTGTCTTCGGAGCACCGCGTGAATACACGGGGCTACGGTAATACCGCGCGGGCGGCGGACGACGGCGGAGTGCGTGTCCTCTCGAGCGCTGGTTGGAAGACACGCGCACGTATTCCGCTTCTAAGGGCCTTCCGACGTGAGCGCCGCGCCGCCGCCCCCGCCGGATGAGGTGCCTGGCCGTGATCGCAGCTCGGCCTCGCCGTGCGCGAAGAAGCACTTCTCGCCGAGCGAGCAGGAGCCGTCGCGCTGGTAGAAGGCGCACATCCGTGTCTTGCGCAGGAAGTCTGTCTTGAACCGGTCGCGCTCAGTCAGCCCGCCCTGGCGCAGCTCCGCCTCTCCGTGCGCAAAGCCGCACTCGAGCCCGGCGATGCAGGAGCCGAAGCGCTCCCAGTGGCGGCACAGCTGCGTCTTGAACAGCTTCGAGTCGGGCCGCGCGGCGATGCCGGAGAAGCTGCCGCGCGGCGGCGGCTCCCGCGCGAGAGCCCGCAGCTCCCGCTCTCCGTGCGCAAACCGACAATTCGCACCGTCGGCGCATGTCCCATCGCGCTCCCAGTTGCGGCAGACCCTCGTCTTGAAGAGATTATCGGCGGGCCGTCGCTGCTCGGTCTGCTGCGGCGACCACCCCCTGTCGCCTTCGTACAGGTGAGCACCGCCGCCGCGGCCCCTGTCGCCGCCGCCGCCGCCAGGCCCGCCACGCTCACGATCGCGGCCGCTGCTGTACCACCTGTCGTGAGGCGGCGGCGGCGGTATCCTGCGAGCATACTCGTCCATTGTGCCCGGGCTTGCTTCACACGCACACGCGCGAGGGAGGCGAGCCTTGGCTATGGAAAAAAAAAACGAGCCGCGCCCGGCGACCGCGCACCCCCCTAGGGGGCAGGGCTCTCTTGCAACCCGATGCCAATCGGACTAAAAAGAAACAGCACCGCTCACTGGCCAGTGGCGCCAAACCGCGTCGTGAGGTGCATGTCGCTCTCCCTCGCGTGGGCCGCCGCGCTCGGCTACTCGGCCGCGCACTGGTGGCCGGGCCTGCCGCTGCGGCCGACCCTCGTCGCCCTCGCCGTGCTCTCCGCCTCTCGACTCGCCGCGGACGTCGCGGCGATGTGGCGCTCTCCGCTCGACGCGGTCGAGCGCCCGCTCAACGCTACGCGGCGCACGCGGTGGCGAAACCTGGGCCTCTGGCCGCCGGACGGCTCGGGAGGCTACGCCGCCGCGTGCTCCGCGATGGCCGAGCGGGTGGGCGATATGGCCGGGGTCGGCGCGAGCACGCGCGCCGTGCTCGACGTCGGCTGCGGCGCCGGGGAGTCGCTTCGGATCTGGTCGGCCCGTGGCGCCGCGCTCGTCGTCGGCGTGGACGCGGCGCCGCCCGTCGACTGCAGCTCCGCGGTCGAGTGCTGCGATGCGGCGGGCGTGGGCGCGCTGGCGGCCGCGCGCGGCGAGCGGTTCGACGCTGTTGTTTGCGTCGACGCGGCGTACCACTTTGCGCCCAGCCGCGCCGCCTTCTTCGCGGCGGCCTCCTCGGCGCTGTCCGAGGGCTCCCCCGCCGGATGCCCCGCTGGACTCCTTCTCCCATCGCTGCTCAAACCGCCGATTCCTCACCCAGTAGGCGGCAGGATCGGCCTCGCCGACGTGCTCGGCTCCTCCGTCGACGCCGGAGGGGACGTGCGTCGCGCCTCTCGCGGCTTGGCGCGGCGGGCCATCGCGGCGCTGATGCGGGTGCCGGCCGCCAACTTATGCGACGCCGCCCAGTACGAGGCGATGCTGGCGAGCGCGGGCTTCGTCGACGTCACCGTCGAGCCGGCGACTGAGCGCGTGGTGGGCGGATTCGCGCGCTTCGCCGCGCGGCACGCGCGCAGCAGCTTCGACTCGCCCCCCGATCGGCCCGGCTGGTCGTGGTCGTCCGTCGCGCGGGCAGGCGCGGCCCTCTCGGCCGCCTTCCGCCACGGCCAGCTCGAGTACGTGTTTGTGAGCGCGCGGAAGCGACACTCTCCTCGCGACGCTGCGCACACGTGAGGAGTGGTGGGTATGTTGTGAGCCGCCCGATTTCTTTTTGACGACAGCATTGATTCTTTTTGCCGCAGTGCGCGCCAGTCCCCCCCCGTGCTTTAGTGAGAGCAGTGTCAGTGACCAGTGAGCAGTGTCGCGACGGCGCGAATATATTAAATAAATAAACAAAAAAACAAAAACGGACACCTCTACTGTGAGATGCGCGAGAGAGTTGTAAAATTCTTTTGCCGAGTCCTGTGCTCTGCCGACCCCGACCGTCGGCGCTGCACGTGAGGCATAGCTACCCCACAAGGCCACAACGCCCTGCCATGCGCCCTGCGTGCTCTGCGAGGTGCAGCTTCCCCGCGCGCCTCCTGGGCGCCTCATCAACGCTCATCTATCGCGCACCCGGTATTGTTATTTCTTTTGTGCCCCTTCCCACCCCCCGCCCCCCGCTAAGGGGTCCTCCTGTAGCTCCCCTACTCTGATCGCGCTCGCTCCGTATCCGTGCCCCACGAACAGCTCGTAGTCTTCTTTCTGCCAGTTTATGTGTCTCTGGGGCGCTCCCTCTGGGAACAGCGTCTCATCCGTCCCGAGGCTCCCCTCTTGCCGTTCCCTCTCCTGTCTCTCCATCATCTTTTTCACCGCGTCCCCCTTGCTCTTATTTTGCTCGGGTATCTCCTCCTCCCATGTCGCGTTCGTATCGAGGCCCGGGGTCCCCTAAGCTTTATCACTCGATTGTGTTTTGAGAATTCTTGGCCGCGTGCTTGGCGCTATCATGCCGGTCGCGAGCCGACCCGATCACGCTTCGCCCTCCATGCTCGAGGTGACCGAGATCATCGCGCGGCGCGCGAGCGCGCACGACGACGTGCTCCGGCAGACCCAGCCCTGGCAGGTGCGCGCCTCCCCCTCTCCACGCCCGTGCGTGCGCCGCCGCCCCGGTGAACCCCGTCTCCCGCCGCAGGACTACATTGACCAAAAGGCGCGCGAGCGCCGGGGCAAGCGCCGCTCGACCGACGTGCGTCGCGCCCCTCCCTCCGCCGCCCGACACCAGCCCAAGCGTGGCGGCGCCTGACTTCACCACCGCCGCCGGGTGCCGCCACAGGCGCTGGCCGAAAACGTGCGGCTCCGCGCAGAGAGCTCCCCGCAGCGGGCCCGCACGGCGGCGGCCACGGCAGCCACGTGGCCGACGGCAGCGGAGCCGGAGCAGCATTCGCAGGCGGCCAGCGGCGTGGGCCGGCGAAGCTCCGGTTCTGGCGGCGGCGCCGGCTCGAGCGGCGACGCGGCCCGAGACTTCCGCGAGCCGGCAACCAGCTCGCACTCCCGGGCGACCGGGCGAGCCGCGGCGGCGGGCGCGTCCCGCCGCGTGGCAGCGGGCGCGAGCGGCTCCCGCCACGCGGCGGCAGACGCGTGGCGCGGCCAGCCCGAGCGGGCGCAAGGCCACGCCGCCCCGCGCGCTCTCCCGCCGCTGCCGGCCGCCCCGCCGCCGCCAGCCGGGCGGCGGCCGCAGCAGCCTGAGCACCGGCGGACCTTTGAGGCGCGCGCGGCGGGAGAGCCGGCCGCGTCCGCCGGCCTGGCGGCACGCGTTAACAGCGGCGCCGCCGGCCTCGCCCGCCAGTGGCCCAGCTGCCGCCACCCCGCCTCGGAGTGCAACCCAGGCTTGCGAGCTAATCCCCCGCCACACCCCACCCCTTCCCGCCACCCCGTTCGATTCCCTGGGGGCCCGCCGCGCCTCTACCTCCCCCGCCGCCGCCACTTCCTTCCCCGCCGCCCTCGCATCCAAACGGCCACCACCGCCCACTCCGAGACCGCTCGAGTCCATGTCACAGCAGGCCTGCGAGCGCCGGCGCAGGAGGCGGCGGTGCAGGCGCCCTCCCGCGCTCGCGCCCGCCCTCCGCGCCCTCTGCGCTCGCCGCCGGCTCCGCGCTGGCCATCGCCCACCTCGCCGCCTTCGCCGCCCTCGCCGCTCTCGCCCGCCGCGCGCTCCTTTCCCCCGCCGCTCGTCGCGCCGCACCGCAACCCTCTCTTTGGGCCGTGGCTCGACGCCGACGCCGACGCGGTTGCCGACGCGGTGGCGGAGGCGTTCACCGACGCGGACGCGGTTGGGCGGTGTCCGCCGACGGTGTGTGCCGCCGCCCACCGCCGCCGCCGGCGCGGGGCCCTCACAGCCAACCCTTCCCCGCCACCCCCTTCCGGTGCCACAGATGCCGCTCCAGCGGTGGGGCTCTGGGCTCCTCTTCTCGTGTGAGGCAGAAGCGGAGGAGGGCGAGGAGGAGGAGGAGGGTTTCGACGCGAGGCGCCCTCTCCGCTGGTTTGGCGGCGAGAGGAGGGTGTCCCACTCGGGCCTCCTCTTCCGCTAGGATGGAACCGGCTGCGAAGGGCAGTCGCACATGGTACGGGGGAGGGGGGGGGGGGGGGCGATCCGGGGCCGCGGCCTCACGACCTTCGTCGTCGACGCCGGGGGCAGGGAGAGGCTGCAGCTCATGTGTGCCGTGTCCTCGTCGGTAGCCGACATCGTGGGACGCGGTGCACCATGTCGCGCATCGGCCTTCGCGGGCGGGGGCACGCGGACTGTACGGGGCGAGCCGTCGCAACACCGATCCGTAACGAGCACCTGTGCGGAGTGCGCGTTCTCGCGCGCGGGTGTTTTCTCGCCCATCTCACCGCTCCGCACTCACCGTGGTCGTCTCTCTATCGTGTGCATGTCACCGTACACATACAGCTGTGGGAGAGGAGGAGGGAAAAGACGACACAAGTGTCACAGCTCCACAGCGTCTGCTGTCTCGCGGCAGCCGACATACTACACAAAAAGGTGCGCCCGCCGTGCCTGATCAGGGGATGATCACGCCATCGCACCAAGCAGCGTGGAGGTCGCAGACGCCGCCGGCTCGCGTCAGAAAATCGGTGCTCGATCCCTCGGAATAGTACTGGGACAGCAGGTCGGACCAGACGTCTTGCGAGTATTTGGTGGCAAGCCATTTCGACACCTCCCCGCTTGCGCGCGCCGCGTCCATTGCGTTGTTGGCGATGTACGTGAAGGTGTTTAGAGGAGGGGGGTCGTAGAGCCCGAGCTTGTTCAGCACGATGAGGAAGGGAAAGAGAAGGTTCCCGAGCACCGCGCCTCCCGCCACCGTTCCCGCAATCTTCTGGTCTAGGCGAAGCTCTGCGGTCGGGATCGGCGACCGCGCCGGTGCAACCGGGCGGAACGCGAGCGGCGAATGTTGCACTGCCGGAGCAAGGGCGACAGCGGAGACGAGAGCAAGGGCTAGCATTTTTTTGGTGGCACTGTTGACTTTTTGAGGGTGGGACACGGCCTCCAGCTGCACCAGGATGCGGCACGTGGAAAGAACCCCCGACTCCGAGCTTGATGCTGAACTTGACTCTGTATTCACCAAGTTTAGCAGAGTAGCTCCATCCAGGCTGCAAGCGCCAGTCTGAACGCGCCCCTCTCTCCACCCCGCAGGCGGGCGACATCGAGCACTTCAACGACAAACAAGGACAAGAAGCACGAGCGCTTCCGCACCTGGGCAAGCATGCATGCAGATCTCGCCCGGCTCGGTGCCGGGTGGCTCCAATGCCGCCAACCACTTGGTGCTTCCGACACACACACATAGAGAGAGACACACACACACACACCTGGACACACACACCTGGACACACACACCTGGACACACACACACACACACACACGACTCATAGAGTCGAACGGGACCACGGCGGACGTGGTAGTGGCAACCACGGCGGACGTGGTTGTGGTCGGTCATGATAAAACCGGAAAGGAATAACAAAAAGAAAAGCCACCCCCACGACTGAAAAGTCTTAATGGACCTGTCCTAGACTCTGTGGCTGAAGTAGCGTGTGCGTCGAAGCCACAAGAGGGCTGGCATAGTTCGGAGGGTCCTTGAGAGGGGGGTTGTGAAACGATCGCCGCAAGGGGTGTGAAAGTAAATACTCCACTTATTCACAGATACCATACTGGAGGCGCCGAACCTCCCCCATCCCTCTCCGGCTCGTCGGGCGCCTGGCCTGCGCCGGAGGTCGCGGGCCCGTCATCCGACGCCGCAGGCCCGTCATCCGATGCACGGCCGGCGGCGGGGCCGGCGCCGGCGGAACCGCAGCACGCGGGGGCAGCCCGAATGTGCAGCACGCCATCGGTAACGCGAGATCGTTGGACGTGGCCAGTCTAGCCGCATCGCAGGTTGAGCCACCCCTGCAGTGGCTCGCCAAGAACGGCGGCTTGCGCGAAGTGGCACAGGGAAGCAACGCACGCTGCTCGGGGCTTAATCTCGCGCCTCTCGTGCCCTCGTCGACGCCGGGTCCGCCCAAGCCAAGGGAGTACTGTAGCTCTCACGCACGCACGCGGCAAGTCCAGAGGTGAGCCTGTATGCTGACAGTCTCGTGATAGACCATAGAGTTGCAATGGCTTTAGGCGCAGCGGCACCCACGCTCTCCCGCTCTCCCGCGGGCCCGTGCCCCGGTTCTCTCCCAGCTGCAGCCGTCCCACCACAGGCTCCCACGCGTCGGGCTTCTCTGCCTTCTCTCGTGCTTTGTAGCCGGGGGGGAGTTTCCCATCTTCGATCTTGCCCCTTCTCGTCCGCCCGCACTCTCCACGAAAAACGAAGGGGGAAGCGTTTTCAGATTTCACTGCGTAGGGTAGTTGGTACTCTCCCACCTGAAAGAGGTGCTGCTTCGTGCACGGCTTCGTCGTCGCCTCGCGCAGCTCGGCCATCGTCCGCCGGCTCGCCTCGGCGCTCGCCCTCTCGCTCGCCGCCCCCCGCTGCGCCGCCTCACTCTGCCCGTGCGACGCGCTCACCCGCGCCGCCTCGCGGCCCGCCGCCCGGCCGGCGGCTCCTGCCGCGTCCTTCATCCCGCCGCCGCCGCCGTCGTACAGCATCATCACCTGGTTGGTCACCAGCCGCCAGTACTGCCTCGCGTCGTCCGGCATCGCCGGCCAGATCTCGCGCCACACGTGGTTCTTCATGTGCTGCAGCGCGACGTAGACCGTGTTCTCGCCGCGCCCCGTGCGCACCGTCGGCTCCTCCTCCCGCGCGTCGCCCCGCTCGGTCGCGTGACTCCGGATACATCCTTTTGCAACGGCCCTATACGCTAGAGACCGAGAGGTGATACAGTCACGGCCTGATGCATTGTCAGGGAGTGCGAGAGCACCACCATCAATAGAACATGCAACATCTGTCATCTTGGAGCAACACTTGAGTCTCGAGAGACACTGTCTGGCTGGTAGCCCCCCCCCCCCCACCCAGCCGACCCGCTGTGAACCTCGCGGGCTCACGCTGCTCCTCCCTGGGTCTCTTCCCACAGGAGCAGCTGTGAAGCGGCTGCGGCAATAGCAGACAGGAGAGACGAGAGGCCGACTACACGGTAAGGCATACGGACCTTGCAGAAAACCTTTTCCTTCTAAGCAGGGCTACACAATGACCCTATAGTGTGTGGGTGTTCCTGGCGAGTTGTGATGAGTAGAATTAGACTAGCCAATACTATTTTGAAGTTCATATATGAAAATACCAACTTGCCTATGTGCACGTCTCCGCCGCGGCGGCCCGGAGGCGGCCCGGCGGAGCGGTCAGAGCAGCACTGCGCGGGCCGGCGATCGACTCTCGACTATAGTACGGGCTCTATTGAATGGCCTCAAGGTGCTCTCTAGGGCTGCCCTATTCCGCTCGCCCGGCTACGTCGCCGGGCTTCGAAGGAAAAGGTTTCGCTCGGCACGGCGTCGGAGAGCAAACTTCGACGTTCGTCCTATAGTGGAAGCTGGACGCACGTAGGCAAGTGGCCCATGACCAGGCGGGCTGCTGCTCAGAATCTGGGCCGTCGGCGCTCGCTCTCGCGCTCTTCATAACGGCGTTGCCCCCTCCCTCCCGCGCCGACGTTGGGCAGCCCGACCACGACAACGTCAGCGCCGCTGGCCTGCAACTCGAGGCGCCTTTGAATGAGCACGAGCCGGTGCGCGGCGGCGGCGCGGGTGATGCAGCCCAAGGTGACGGCGACGGCAGAGGGGGCGGCGCCGGCGGCGGAGGAGGCGGCAGCGGCGGCGATGGCCGCGGGGTCGGCCCGCCCGCCTTTGCTGCTGGTGCTGTGGGCATCATCACAGCTCAGCGGCGGTGTGCGACCAGGGCCAGTGGTAGACTTTCGACGCGGTGAGGCTGCTCTCTGAGCAATGACACTAGCAAGAGCATCATGTGTGTCATCGGAGTCACTTGTATTACGATACCACCACGCCGCCACGCTCGCAAGGGCCGCCTAAGCGCCTAAGCACCCTAAGCACCCCCCCGCTTAGGCCGCTTAGGCGCTTAGGCGAGTGACGGCCGGCTGCCCGGGGCCTGGCGTGCCTCCGCCGTGGGCTGAGCGCCCGGGAGAGCCACTCTGCAAGTGGTGTGCGAGCGTGTAGCCTTTAGCGTGCAGTCGGCCGAGACTCGACACCGACCGACCGCCTGTGCCACCAACCAGGCAGGCAGGCAACAGACACAATTCTTTCTTCCTATCTAATACCTCTGTGCCGTGGCGTGTGCCTAGCGACGTCCGCGCCAGCGAGCCTCAGAAGGGCGCGGACTGGCGCAGATAGCACAATGACGTAAGAATTCCCTTCACACGCGGGAATCCTAGCGTTCGTCATTTGGGCGCGAAGGGAAAATGCCGCCGCGAAAGCGTGCCAAGAAGCGTGCCAAGAAGGCTGTCGAGCTGCTCACCGTCACGTTTCCGCGCTTCGGCACTCTCACGGGCACGGTGCTGGGCGAGGAGGACAACGATGGCGAACATCTCATCATCGTGAGGTGGTCTCAGCCACTAGATGGTGGCGACAAGCGCTGGGACTGGAAGGTGCCAGCAGGCGAGTCATACCAGGTGAAGCACCCGGCCGACTCTCCAGCGGCACTCTCCGAGATATTCGAGCCTCCGCACCCAAAGTCGAATGAATACAATCTTCTGACAGAGGAGCCGGCTGGCTGCCGATTCCTTGTTCCGACGATTGAGTTGGACGACGAGACGACCTACTACCTCGGCGAGCGGCTGGACGAGAATCGGTGGTGGGTGACGAAGAAACGGCTGACCGATCCCGCCATGATCGGCGATCATGGCTACGCCCCTTACATCCCGTCCTACCCTGCCGCACTGTACATGCTCGTGTGCTCACAGGTTCAGCAGGCGATGCACGGGGAGAGCTTTGGCGAGTGCACCATCGTCGGCCAGCTCGCATTCGAGATGAATGACCGGTTTGTCCGCCATGCCTCGGGCCGCCCGGTCAACCGGCAGCATGACATTGCTTGCAACGAGCTCAAGGCAATCGAGTTCGCCGTCGCCGAGGTGAAGCGGCAGCTGCAGACCAAAGGGTCGCCGTACGACGCGCTATGGGGAATGCTGCTGCTCTTCTCCGATGAGGGAGAGTGCGCGTTTGAGGGTGTGTGGGAGGACGACTTTTCCCATTTTGGAGAGCCGCACCCGCCGCTCGTCAAGGCTTGCTCCGGGATCGCCCTCGTCGCTGCGGCCGTTCTTTTCGATGCGAAGGTGATCGAAGAGGCGAGCTCGAGGCTGGCCAAATGCCCAGAGGCCGTGCTCAAGCTGTTGCCGCCTCTTGACCAAAAAGTTTGAGAGTGCCGGAGCAGGCGTTGGCACGTGGAAAGACAAGAAGGCCTGCACGGCGTGGCGTACGCTTCTGGCACAGGCGAAGGCGGAGGCTTGATCGCTTGAGAGGGTGCGTGTGTGTTGTGGTGTGGGGGCGCGGGTATGTGCGTGCGGCAGCCGGAGGTGCTAGAGAGGTGACCTTTTTCGAAGAGTATTTTGGCGACCGTTTTCTTTTTCCACATACCACAGACAACACACTGAAACCTATCAGTGGTCACATTTTGAGAAAATGAGAGGATTTTTGCAAAACGCACATGCCCTCAGACGTCAGAGACAGAGTGCCTCGAGGTCTCGAGCGGACGAGCGCATGCCCAAAGCCTTGAGGTCTTGGTTTCGTTTTAAACACACGTTTTTTGAAAGACGCACAACGATCGACGTCGCAAACCTAGGCACACAGCTCCGACACGCAGGGGCGCCCACCCTCTGTGATAGTAGCGCTGGCCAACCACGTAACGGAGCTGCGCTGTCCACCCGACCGCGCGCGCTACTTCTCAAACCAGAAGCGCGTCGCCACCTCGCCCTTCACCGGGAAGAGCGGCTCTCCCTCCCACTTGCTGCCCGCCTCGGCGGCGTTGATCCGCCACGTGTCGGCGATGAGCAAGCCAGCGACTGTGATCCATACAGCCGTCAGCCCCAGCAGGCTTCCCGCCTTTTCGGACACCGAGTAGAACTGCGTGGCCGCGAAACACGCCGAGGCCAGCACGCACGCCACGCCGGGCACCGCGGCGCCGAGCCGGCGCTCGACATTGTTGACCGTGTTCCACGTGTCGCCAACCGAGAGGTGCAGCATGATGCAGAGGAGCACCGGGTTGAGCAAGTGCATGCCGGTCGCCTCCCACACGAGGGTCGACGAGAGCGCGCGGAGAGGTCCGACGACCAGAACCCACCTACCGCCAAATGCTGTGATTGTGGAAGGGGTGGCAACGATTGTCTGTGCATCGTGCCGGCGGATTTCACATGATCGGAAAGGTCACACCCGGCGGCGTCCAGCTTGGCATGATCCGGTCGTTGAAGCCGCGGGTCGCCTCCCCATCCACTGCCTTTTTGAGGTCAGGCCGCGCGTTGTCGAGAGGCGAGAAGACGCGGCTCTTGAGAGACAAGCCCCAGAAGAGTCCGGCGACCGCCTGCCACGGAAGCGTCACGCCGAGAGCGTCGGTCGCGAGATCGACCGCGCCGAACGTGGCAGAGACGGCACCCATCTGCACGGCCACCGCGCCCGCATACTTGCCGATCGCCTCAACGTCTATCTCCTTTGAAGCAGCGGTGGACGAGGCGACGGCGGCGGCGGACCTGGCTGTGATGGCTGGGCGAGCGGCGGTGGTGCTGCCGTGGAAGGCGAGTGCGAGACTCAGGAGGTGGATCACCATGGTGCTGATCTCTTAGCAGCGCCGACGACGCGCGGCTGCGACTCTCCAGCGCCGCCGGCGCGAGTAACGCGCTGGTGCTGTCTGCTTGCCGCAGCCACTCCTCGCAGCTCGTGAAGAGAGCGACAAATGGCCCTCGGTCTTCACAGCGGAGTGGCTGGGACGATACCACAGGCGCCCCGGCCAAAGCGAAGAAGAAAAATAAACGAAAGTTCCCCGCGACGTTCACCGCGACGGCCGAGGCCGAGGAAGCCGGGGCGCCGCCTCAATGCTCGCCCTCACCCTGCCCGACTTCTCCTTCCCACATGGACGACAGACCGCGGGGCTTAGGAGCGAGGTATCACGCTGGCTGTCGCCGGCCGAGTCGCCGCGTATGCCGCGGCATTCCGAGTTTGACGGGAATCGTGAGCATGAGCGGTTCAGCCTCTACCTCCGGCCAGTGGACGCAGACGGGCAGCCGCTCCAGGCCAGCGGGCCGGACTCGACCGAAAAACTCCGCCGGTGGGGCGGAATGCACGCCACGCTCTGCTCCTTTGCGCCTCACCACGGGAGCGGAGCAGCGGTCACGCATCGCACCGCGCCGGACGCTGCGATAGAGCTCCTGAGCGCCGCAGCCGTATCCGGCATCTCGTCGGCCGGCGTGTCGAAGCTGGCCTCGTCCGCCTGGCGGCTCTCGCCCCACGCTACGCTGCCCGCGAGCGAGACGGGCTCGCTACTGCTGCTGCCGACGAGAGGCGGCAAGAGCGACGGCAGCCTCCCTCAATTGGGTCTCTCTTCTCGGCCCGCCGCCCCACCCTCACACACACGTCCCGCGTCTTCCAGGGGCCTCCGAGGCGCTGGCCGCGATCAGCGCCGCCGCCGCCGCCGCCAGACTCGTCAACGCGCGGCCCGCAGAGTCGCTGCACGTCAATATCGGGTGAGCGAGAGCTCGCCCTGGGATGCGGGACCGCCCTCTCCCCTGCGCATACCTTTCCAGAGGACGCCACCCAGGGGCCAGACCCCCGGCGCCTCCCCGCACCACACTCATCCCCAGAGGGCACCGCCTACATGGACACATGGAGGCCCCCCCACGGCAATCCCGTAGATAGTCTAGACATCGTACTGATAGTAAACGGACCTCGACGCCCTCCCGCAGGCGCGCCGCAAGCTGCCGCAGCCGCTGCGCCGCCGGCTGCGTCGGGTTGGCGGGCGGCGATTGCGCTGAGAGGGCGCGGGCGGTGCTGCGCGAGTGCGCGGGGTGGGAGCTGTGTGTCGCCTCTTGTGCAGCGGGGGAATCGCCGCTGCGTGTGACTGGAGTAGGGCGGCGGAGGCGCCTCGAGTGGCCCGCCGCCGCGGCTGCCAGTGGGGCGGCGGAGTGTGGTGAGGCTCTCTCCGCTCTCGCTGAGTCGGGGGTGCCGTAGCGTGCCACTCTTCGTACCGTCAGAAACATAAAGAAACAAATGGACCCCTCGCGACACCAGTCACCACAGGGAGATAGATACAGAGATGGGCGCACCCAGGAGCGGATCCCCCGCAGCTAGACGCCGCCGTCCGCCGGGGGGCCGGCGGGCTCGATGGCGTCGGCGACCGCCTTGTTGCCGTTGATGATCGCCTCTCGAGCCGCCGCTGGCAAGCCGGGAGTGCCCTCGGCGCGCTGCACGCCCCGGCGCAGCATGAGCGCCCCGACGCGGCGAGAGAGAGTCGTCACGCCCTGCACGCCGCGCCACACGTCGCCGCGTGCGCCTCCATCCGCGAGGAGGGAGCCGACCGCTTCGGCCACGGCGGTCGGCAGCGGCGGCTCGCTCGCGGCCGCGCCCAGCTCCTGGCGCACGCGCGGGCCGATAAGCTCGGCGATCTCTGACGCGGTGGCGAGGGCGCGCTCGTCCTCGTCGGTCGCCGCCAGGAGCGCCTCGAGGGCCGGCGGCGGCTTAAGGCCGAGGGGCGCGACCAGCGAGGCTGGCGTGTCCACCAAGGCGGTACGCAGCGCCTGCCACACGACGGCGCGCTGACAAGTCTCGTCCAGCTTGGGCTGATCTCGGCTGATCTCGGCTGATCTCGGCTGATCTCGCGCCTGCCGCACCGCGGCATCGCCAAGCCGTGCGCTCTCCTCCACAAGGATGTCCTAAGGGTAGGGACAAGGGTAATGGAAAATTGCATGTCTCCCCACACACGCACAGTGGCGGAGCGAAGGTGGGCTCTCTTCTGCGTCACCACACCCCCTGCGAGACTAGCAGTGGCCCCGGCGTTCACGCTGCAAGACCCGGAGCCCGGCCGGCGGGGCGAAGCACAACCTGCAGCGTCGACCCCTCCGGGTCGATCAGCAGCCTACATGCTAATACACCAACATTAGGGCGGGAGTACGGCCTTGTGCAGAGTATTCAGAGCGCCGTGAGAATACGAGCGACACAAATACGGTGATCACAGCGGAGTACGGTCGAATACAGCGGAGTCCGTGTCCTCTCGAGCACTGGTTGGAATGCATGGCTACGTATTCCGCTTCTAGGATCAGCAGCCCGGCCAGCTCACGCGTCGCCTCCGACTGGCCCGCGCCTCGGTCCACCGTCGCGGTGGCCGCGGTGGCCTCGCGGAACTGCTCACTCATCTCGACCAGCTTCGAGGGAGAGAGGCCTCCGCCTCCGCCGTCGCCTCCGCCGCCGCCGTTGCCGCGCGCGGACGACTGGGCCGTCGGCACAACCACGCCGACGGTGTCCGCTCCGAAGGGAAGCGCCGACGGCGCACGAACCGCCGGGCCGTCGAGGCCGAGCATCGCCCGCAGGGCCGCCTTGGAGCGCGGCGAGCGGTCGGTGAAGAGCCGGCGAGCGAGGTAGGGGTAGCACTCCTGCGAACGGGGGGAGATAGGGTCGGCGGGGGCGCAACGGCCGTGGTCCTCCTCGTGGTCGTCAGAGACAGAGAGGGAGGAGGCGAGAGAGATGTGCCGCGTGTCACTGTGCGTGACCAGCCCGTGCTCTGTTGGGCCGAGGGCTGGTTTGAACGCGTCGACTGAGACTTGTGGAGGAGAGCGCAACCACTCCTGCACGATTGCGTAGTCCTCGTCGACCGAGAGGCCGATCCCCTCGAGGGTGGAGAAGGCGCGTGCGACGTAGAGGACGTACGGCGGCAGCGCGAAGAGCTCGCGGTTGCGGCGCGACACCTCCTCCATCACGTTGGTCACGCCCTTGACGTCGACCCCCTCCGAGGCGAGCTGCGCCTACTCTCGGCTCATCTCGGCTCATCTGGGCAATCTCGGGCGATCTCGCGCGAGCTGCTCCGAGGCGAGCTGCGCCTCCATCGCCGCGAGCAGCTCCGCCTGCGCCTTCTTCTCGAGCTCGGGCCCGCTCAGCTCCGCGCCGTACCGCTGCTTGAGCTCTCCCTCCACGCGCTCGGCAATCTTCTTTGGCCCGCCGCCCGCGCTCAGCTGCCGAAAGGCAAAGGAGAGGCCGTCGGTGATGCCGGACGCCTTGAGCCGCTCGGCGGACACCCTGCTCGAGGAGTTGCACGACGAGTGTGTTGCACGACGAGTGTGTTGCCGGCCCGACTGTGTTGCACATCTCTCCCCGTGTGTGAAGCGCGTGTCGCAGCTTGCGACGCGTGCTTCGCGCTAGCCTTCCGTGGGACTCGGCGTTGCCTGTCCGACTAGTCGATCTCTGTCTGTCTGCCCGTTCTCCGACTGTCCGTGCGTGCGATCTGGGCCCGGGGTCGTGCTGTTTGTGTCAAGCGTGTGTCGTGCGGTATGCGACACGCAGAGGAGAGACATATGCGCCGCTAGGGAGTGTGGGTTCGGGGGGCTCTTCACACACACACACCCCGGGGGCTAGGGGGACCCCGGTCCATATGCTCTGTGGGCCCCCCATCTGTGGAAGCAAGCGCACCCCTCCGGCGAGAAGCCGAGGTTGATGAAGTCCTGAGGCACCTGCTTGGGCGTGGGGCGTGGGGTCCGATCTTTTACTGAAGGCTGCTCACCACTGCCACCCGTCCCGAGCCGCACCGCGTCGTAGTCCTCGACGTTCAGGTGCGCGATGAACTCAAGGAGCGCATACTGCAGGTTCGACGGCACCTCGAGCGTCATGCCCCAGTCGAGGATGCAGAGCTTGCCGTCCGTCGTGCGCAGCAGGTTGCCTGGGTGCGGGTCGCAGTGCAGCACGCCTAGCGAGATCGCCCGAGATGGGTCCGAGATCACCCGTTGCGGCGCTCGCCCGTGCCGAGCCATCTCGGGCGATCTCGGGCGATCTCGGGCGATCTCAGGCGATCTCGGGTGCGGCACGCCCGTGTCGAGCAGCATGGTCAGGTACGCGTTGAGCGCGACGCCGCACAGCCGCGGCACGTCGGGCGACGCGTCGGAGTCGAGGCGCGAGCCGTCGACCCACTCGGTCACCAACACCGTATCGCGCACCAGCCGCTCCACAACCACCGGCGCGCAGACCGCGTCGAGGCCGCGCGCCTTCATCGACGCAGCAAACCCCGCCGTGTTCCTCGCCTAAGGTAAGGGACGCCTCTCCACAGACGCAAGGGCGGTGACGCAAGGGCCAAGCAACCCTCGCGACTCCACGTCTAGAAGGACAGGCCGCACGGCGTTGAAAGTGCAAGACCCAGTGCGCGTGTGGTCACTGTGTGTGTGTGTGTGTGTGTGTGTGTGTGTGTGTGTGTGTGTGTGTGTGTGTGTGTGTGTGTGTGTGTGTGTGTGTGTGTGGGTGGGTGGGTGCGTGCGTGTGTGCGTGTGTGTGTGTGTGTGTGTGTGTGTGTGTGTGTGTGTGTGTGTGTGTGTGTGTGTGTGTGTGTGCGTGTGTGTGTGCGTTCGTGTCCTCGCCTCAAGCCGGTAGTCCGTCTCAGCGACAAAGCCGCGGCCCCACTCATCGACGAGCTGCAGCGCGACCGCGATGTCCTCCGGCTGCGTCTGGACGCCGTTGACCTGTTGAGCAGCGAGGAGGAGAAGAACCGATTCCACCACTGCTTACTAAAGTTGTCTTTTACTGCCTGCTACTGCTGTAAACTACCACGGTCACTACTGCTGACCGCGTTCTGGAACATCGTCTGCAGCGGCGTGAGCAGCCGCAGCACGTGCAGGTCGAGGGCGATCTCTGCGAGGATGCCAGGCCGCTGCACCTTGACCGCCACCTGCGTCTCGCCCTCCCGCAGCGTCGCCTTGTACACCTGCCCGACGCTCGCCGAGAGGTAGCCGAGAGGTAGCCGAGAGGTAGCCGAGAGGTAGCCGAGAGGTAGCCGAGACACCTGCCCGATGCTCGCCGAGGCGACCGGCGCCGCCGTGATCTCGCCGAAGATTTGCGTGAGGTCTCGCACGCCCAGCTGCCGCCGCAGCACTGCAAACGCCTCGGAGGAGGGGAAGGGCGGCACCGCGTCCTGCAGCTGGCGCAGCTCGAGTGCGTACGCCTCGGGGATGAGGTCGGTGCGGATCGAGAGCGCCTGCGCGGCAGCGGCGAAGTACGGGTGCGGGGGCGGCGGCAATGAGGGCGGCGGCGGCGGCGGCGGCGGCAATGAGGGCGGGCGCTGCGGCGGCGGGAGCATCAGGCGCCTGCCCGAGCTTGATGAAGGTCGGACCGAGCTGCTCGCACAGGTTTAGCGCTTCCTTTGCGCGGTTCGGCTCGGACGCCTTGAGCGCCTTGTACTCCTCGTCGCGCAGCAGTTTGCCCAGCACGAGCCAGTCCCACAGCACACCAGCCGTGAAGCCGCCCGTCAGGTAGCTGAGAGAGCAGAGGCGCTTGGCCACTAGCAGCGGCCGCGCGCGGAAAAACGCGTCCGCCGCGGCCGGGTCGTACGAGTCCGTCCCCGGCGCGTACGGCGCCTCGCCATCCAGCTCTGCGCGGGAGATTGCGCCGCCGACAGCGGCAGCGCCAATCACACCGAGCTGGAGCAGGGCGGCCGTGGGCGTGAGCGCCGTGCCGAAGAGCGGCGCGTTGCTCCAGAGCTCCGGCGGCACGAGAGAGCCAGCGTGCTCGGCGGCGACCGCAAGCTCGGCGGCGAGCGACGGCAGCGAAAGGCCGTCTGGGAGCGACAGGCCGTCTGGGAGCGACAGAATGTCTGGCATCAGCGACAGCGACGTCAGGCCTTCAGAGACCGCAGCCATCCCACTTGCCACTTGGTCGAGCACCGAAGCTGCTTGAGGTGCAGCAAGAGACATGATTGGTGGGCTGTGGCGGATCGCCACGCCGCCAGAGCACGAGAGAAGGTAGACGGTCACCATACGACCACCGCACCCGATGGGCATCCGGTGTGCGTGCGTGAAATTTCTACGGGCCACCCTTCTTTTTTTAGGGAAGGTACTACGAGCTTTCTGGGAGAAGAGGGAGAGGGGGGTGTTCTCTAGGCCCTAAGGGCCCTCTCAGTGTATGCTCTTACGTACATTCCCTGGAGGAGGACTGCTGACAGGGTTTGCGACCAGCCGTCTCAGTTCACGCCGGAATCGAGAGAGATTTTTAGAAGCCAACAAGAAATGTGTAACAGAGTGATTTGCGCTCGGCAGCTTGTCGACTACCAGCCGGAGCCGGAGTCGGAACCGTAGCCGAGATGGTCTTCGAGGGTGTCGAATATGTCATTCGCCTCGCTAGTTCTTCTCTTCCGGAATCGTGAACCGTGAACCGTGAACCAACTAGCCCCCGCCCCGAGTCCGTGAACCCCGAACCGTGAACCGACTAGCCCCCACCCCAAGTCCGTGAACCGTGATCCGTGAACCGACTCCTCCCGCAACACCCGCCGCGAACCGTGAACCGTGAACGAACGAGGCGGGGCAGCGTCGGGCCGAACCGTGAACCGTGAACCGACTAGCCCCCGCCCCGAGTCCGTGAACCGCGAACCGTGAGCTAACCAGATCATTACCGAAAAGATTCTTTACTGTTTTGTATTTGAAGAAAAAATTCACGCCGAAAAATTCTTTTGGCATCGTGATACAGCAATTGAGAGGCACGAGACGCCCTTCGCGCTCGCTTATCTGCCCAACCCTATCTGCCCAACCCAACCCTCTGTCTGCTGAGACTGTGAGACACGGGGCGACTACAGTCTCAGTGTAAAGCGGAGAGGAGTATATCTGTCCGACGATGAAGGCCGTGTGCCAGGCAGGATACGGCGGGGCCGAGCAGCTCTCGGTGCAGGAGGTGCCGCTCCCAAAGCTCGAGGCGAGTAGCGTCCTCGTGCGCATCGTTGCCGTCTCTGTCAACGCCGGAGACCACCACATGCTCACAGGCCGCCCGTTCCTCATCCGTGTAGCTGTTGGGCGGCAGGCGATCCCTGGCATGGATTTTTCTGGCGTTGTCCATGCAGTCGGCTCCGGCGTGGAGTGCAACTTCTCCGAGGGCGACGAGGTGTTTGGCACCGCCGACACCAAGTGCGGCGCCTTTGCGGAGTACATCTCTGTCCCGGCGACGAATCTGGTTCGTAAGCCAGAGAAGGTGACCTGGGAGGAGGCTGCGGCTCTCCCGACGGCAGGTATGACGGCGCTGCAGTCCCTCCGCACGGGAAGGCCAGTGGAGACGGGCGGGCGCGTCCTGATCAACGGCGCGTCCAGCGGGGTTGGCACCTTTGCCGTGCAGCTGGCCAAGTTGATGGGGGCGAACGTGACCGGTGTGTGCTCGACGGCGAATGTTGCGATGGTGCGCTCCCTCGGCGCCGACGCGGTCGTGGACTACAAGAAGGAGAGCGTCGAGCAGGCTGCGGCGGCGGCTGGCGAGCGCTACGACAAGATCATCGACGCCGTCGGCCGGCTGGGCTGGCACCGGCTCCTCAAGCCCAAGGGGTCGCACGTGGCTGTCGCGCTGCCCAATCCGGAGTCGGAGTGCGTGCCGTGCAGCCTGTGCGCGATCGCGTGCTCGCCGTGGTGCTGCTGCTGCCTCAGCTCGTCCAAGTCGCACATGTTCATGCAGGAGGTGCGCGCGGCCGACATGGACGAGCTAGCCAAGATGGTGGCGGACGGCCAGCTCCGCCCCGTTCTCGGCCTGCGGCTAGTCGGGATCAGCGAGGTGCCCGACGCGCTGGCGGGCCACAGCGAAACGCTCGGGCAGGGCCACCGCACGGGAAAGACCGTGGTCTCTCTCAGAGGCGTCCACTCGGAGAGCATGGAGAGGGAGTAGGGGTCCTATGCAGGAGGTAGCCGCCGCCTCGCAGTTTCGGCATGAAGAACTCCCCGCGGCGTGGGTGGGGTCGCCCCCTTATGAGAGAGTACAGAGAGAGATTTTTAGCAATACCTTTACAAGTACCGATCAGCTTGCTAGCTTGTCTACGAATTATTTAGCCTCTTTTGGTACTGTGACGGGCCTGTGTGAACTTGTGCTGCGTGTGGTTGCCTAGGTAAAATTCTTTTTAAAAAACCTTCGCGAAAAGTCACCCCTTCGCACGCCGGCCCATTTCACGGTTGCAATGCCCTTGTTGGTGCTGCTCGCACTACCCGCACAGGCAGCGCTAATGCTCGCCACGCCACAGCCGCTAATGCCCGGAGCGACGATGTCGCATGCGCTCCCCACGCAGCGCAGCAGAGCGGCTGCTTTGATCTTTGGCGTAGTTATGTGTGCTGACCGGGACAACTTCAGATTCGGCACAGGCAGGCCAGGGAATCCCTTCTGGAATCGGAGGCTGTACGGAGGCACACGCTGCGTGGCGCTCGCGACGACGGCCTCCTCAGAATTGTCGGCGTCCCCAACCCGAACCCGAAGCCAAGCCGCGAGCGTCAAGAGGAGCTTCGGAGGGCCAGCGGAGTTCAAGTCGTCGTTCGACTTCAGGCCCCGCTTCCTTCTACACACGAACATGAGCTCTCGGCCGCCAATTCTCTGCTCTTATAACTCCGAATGTTGCGCATGCAGGTACGGCTCGGGCTGTCCCGGTAGTCCCTTCTCCAACCCGAGGGCCTTTGGCGGCCCGGACGGCGTCACGTTCCTGGCCGCCGCGGCCGCTGCGCCGCCCGAGCAGCCCGCACAGCCGCGCGTTGAAGAGGAGGAGGAGGCAGTGAAGGAAGAAGAGGCCGTGTGGGTGGGGGCGAGCTGACTGGCAGGCTGACTGTCCGCTGAGTTCCCTCCTGTGCTGTGATCGAGATGTTTAGCATGTTGCCGTGGAGTCTGTTGTGTGTACTAATCACGCACACGCTGTATTACCGACGATCATGATGTGGTGTGTACGTATGAGTATTGGATGTAGGCGTCTAGCATGGTGTACCTGTGTCGTAAAAGAAAATATATCGGGGCAAAGAAAGGGAAAAAAGCGTGAAAAGTCACTGTCATCACTGTGCGATTTCGGGGCCGGGGTTGTGCGTTTACGTGAAAAGAAACGCGACGCGGATTCTCTTGTTGCCTTGGCAACCATGCCCGACGCCAACGACGGAGACGTCCCAGCGGCGCTGCGCGCGGCTTCCAGCGTGCCCTGGAAGCAGGCTCGCTTCTACCATGGCGTCGAACGCGTGCGTGACATGTGCGGCGTGCCAAAGGGAGACCGCGGCGACGACGCCGTCATCGGCATGATGCTCGATCGGTTCGGCTGGGACTACGAGCGGACGGCCGAGATGTACCAGGTGTCGGTGCGACGGCGGAAGGAGCTCGGCATGGCGGCGATCAAGGACGACATCGTTTCACAGCAGCTTTCCTTTGAGGATTTTCCGCACCACCGTGACGTCATGCCCGTAATACCCGTCTTTGCGTCGACATCGCTCGAGCCGCCGACGGCCGCGGCGGCCGCAGCGGCCGAGCCCGGCTCGCTGCCCGTGATCGGCTGCTATGAGCTCCGCTACGGCCAGGGCGACCCGGATCGGAGGGAGTCGTCGCTCGTCACGCCGTCCGACTTCACGCGGTACATGCTGTACGTGACGCAGTGGCGCTGGCTGCAGTGCGAGCGGTACGCGCAGCGTCACGGCGAGATTGGCCTCTGGTCGATGGTGCACGACCTCTCCTGCCCGTCCGGCTTCTTCTCGCTCTGGTCCCGGGCGCGATCCGTCTTCAACAAGTGCGCGTGGGGCCTCCGCCTCCTCGCGTCGCCGCCTCCTCGCCTCGCCGCCTCCTCGCCTCGCCGCCTCCTCGCCACACGCACCCCGCCCGCGTCTTTGCCGGTCCCGCGCCCCACCCGCGCGCGCGCGCCCTTTGGCCGCAGGTACCTCTCCCCGGTGGAGGAGGCGTGCGGCGGCCTTTTCCCTCCGATGGTTCAAAAGATCCTCATCGTCAACGTACCGAGCCTGTTTAGCCCTGTGTGGTCCGTCCTTCCCCGCCGCCGCCACCCTGCGCCCACACGACGACTGACGAGCACCCGCCCCGTCCTTTGGGCCAGGTCTGTCATCGCGGCCTTCCTGCCTGCGCAGCACAAGGAGCGGATCGTGATGCTGACCGCCTCCAAGACGACCGCCGCAGAGATGAGCAAGTACATGCCCGCCGAGCACCTCCCGCCGCACGTGCGAGGCCGGTGAGAGGACAGTGCGCGCCAAGCCCCCACCAACAGCCGTCTCGCCACCTTCCGCTTCCGCCGCGGCCGAGTTGCTAGCCGACTTGTCGCCGTCCGCTACGCGCGCCATGTCGCCACGCCGCCCTCCCGCGAGCCCCTGCTTGGACCAGGCCGGCTCCCCGTGCGCCTATCGACACACACCCCGCACTACTAGTCGAAGATAGAACCCGTTGTGGCGTTGGCGGCAAGCTCGAACCATCGGAGGGTCGGAGCGTCGTTGTGTCCATCTCGTTTCCTATTCGACTCTTGCTCATATTCTATATCATATTGCAATATGCGTTAAGTGTTTCCGCGGCGGTTCTCACGAGTAACGATTCGTTTCTCCGATTCGTTTCCGATTCCTTTCCAGGGTTCCCCCCTCCCTCGTGACGAAATCTTTACATACATATGTGTGCTCTGTGCGTTTTTGGCTCGACAACGACATCGAAAAGAGTTCAGGCTCGCGGCTGCATACGCGCCTGTGATACGCGCTCGCGCGCACCAGCCACCAGGCCACCACAACTTGACCACATACGTGAAGACTGAAGCCTGGGCGGGTGCCGAAATGTCATCTGTGGTCAGGGACAGAGCAAGCAGTGCTATTGGTCGTCTAGCGCCACCGTCACCACGACGAGACTCCACGGTGGCATCGCGATGCTCAGCCCCGTCGGCCCGAGCGCCGGCGGCGGGTCGAGCGCGGCGGGTGCGACCGCATCCGGCATCGAGAGGTTGTTTTGCGCGTCGGCGGACGCCGCAGTGAGCACGGTCGCGTTTAGGACACGCGCGAACGCTCGCTCGCCGCTCCACGCCACGTCCACCGGCCGCGCGTTCGGCGCATAGTTGACGAGCTTCAGGTTGACGAGGCGCGCACGGGCGTCCATCGACGCCGTCGCGATCCACCGGGAGGCGGGGGGTGCCGTCGTCAGCCGCGGCTGCGGCGGCTTCGATGACGAGAGCCCTCGCCGCCGTGAGAAAGCCTTCACCCCTTGCGCGTACGGCGGGGTGAGAGTCGCGGGCAGCGTGTGCGCGCCGAGCGCGCTCGAGAAGAGGGTCTGCACGTGGTAGGAGGGCAGCACGAAGAGGCGGCTGCTGTTGAGGTTGACGAGGTTGTACGCCCACTGCGTGCCTATCCACACGAGCGGCTGCACCGTGACTCTGCTGAGCCTCGACTGACGCGTCACGTGAGGCCGCGAATCGCACATTCAGCATCTAGGGGGACAGCGTGCCGCGTACGTTGTTGCACAGCGGCGCGAAGGACGAAGCGACGACAACGTCCGCGTTGCGCTCGAAGCCGATCATGAAGATGGCCTCCGCGAGCGCCGCGCGCAAGGACCGCTTCGCACCGCCTGAGGAACGAACGAACGGGCTCCACTCGGCAAGAGCCTACCGCCGGTCCGAGCGACGAAGCGCCCGTCGCGCCGTTCGCCGCAAACTCTCCCACATAAACCTTGGGCAGCGAGCGGTTGTATCGGTCGTACTCGCCTCCCATGGCCGCCATCACGTCTGGAGGTCTGTAGTAGTGGTCGTCCCAGAGATCGCACCGCTGGCCGGTCAGGCACGGCGAGCCCTCGATGGGAGGTCCCCACCGCCCGCTCGCAACGATGTGGAGGGAAGGGTACGCGGCCCAGAGCCTCCGCGTGATGAGCTCGTAGTGGGCTGGGTAGCCCTCGCCCGACATGTCCCGCTCCTCGTTGCCAACCTCAACGCGCGAGAGGCCAAACGGCGCGGCGTGCCCCATCCGCTCGCGCACCGCCGCCCACGGCGACGAGGCTGGCGCGGCGTTTGCGAAGTCGAGCATGTCGACCGCGTCCTGCGCAAAGGTCTCCGACTGCGCCACGGGCACGTACCTGCGCCCCATCGAGTAGCCGGTGTAGATGCTCATCTGGCACGTCGAGTGCAGCAGCTCGCACAGCGTGAGCAGCTCGAATAAGCCGAGCCCGTCCGTCACCCAGTACCTGTGCGCATGTCCCTCGGACAGGTCAGCTCGAGAGGCGAGGGGCGGTGGAGGGAGCGGCGGCGGCGAAGGCTGGGGGTAGCGGTCGCCCCCACGCAGAGTTGTAGTGGCCTGCCCTCGCGGCGGGCGGCCCGAGCGTGGCCTTCCAGTCCCAACGAGTGCGCAGCCCCGTGCCTGTGCGGCAACATTCCGAGAAGGCTCAGCGGCGGGGGACAGCTGCGCGATTGCGATCAGCGATGCCTTCAAGGTAGTTTCCGCCCGGTGCACGCACGAAGCCCGGCCGCGTTGCCTGCAGCCGCTCGAAGGCGTCGCGCCTATCTCGGGCAGATCTCGGCTCATCTCTCGGCATGTCTCCCGGAGCACGTGCTCAGAGGAGCGGCGCGCCGGAAGAGACCGCCGACGGCGTCCGCAGGGATCAGAGAGACGGCATCGAGCCAGAAAGAGGCCGCCTAAGAGGCGCTGGCGCGCAGTGTCGCAAAAGAGGCGCGCTCCCACGTTGTGAGTAGCCAGTCAGAGGCCGCGCCCCGCCGACGTCGATGAGCAGCTCGAAGCGCGCGTTTGCGGACGCCCCACCGCCCCTCGCCCCGCTTGCCCTCGCGCCACCAATGCCACTCCTCCGAGCAGCGGAGGCCCTCCTGGCAGACCCAGCTTGGTGAGGCGAGGCCCGCAGCGTCGCCGTGTACCTCGCCCAGCCGGGCCGCGCCGCCAGCGAGGACGGGTCTGACAGCGCCGGCCGCACCTCCGCCTCCGCGAGGACTGTGCCGCCCGACACGCTGCGCAGCACGGCGCGCAGCCGCACCGCCACGCCCGCCGCGCCAGTTCTGGCGTACAGGGAGAGGTTGAAGGCGCTTCCAGGCTGCACGGCAATGCCCCAGTACCCCGGGTTGGCGACGCCAACGCCCGGACCGCCAGCCACCCTCAAAGAGTGCGGGTTGGCCGGAAAGGGCGCGGTCGCATTGTCAACCCACAGCCGGGCACCAAAGAGCGCGCTCCACGGCCTGTAGTCGGTGATCATGGGTGCTGGCTCATGAGGGTCTAGTGTGGCTGACCGGTGCTGTCCGAGCTCTTGCGTTGAAAATGGCTCCTCGGCGTGATCACTGCCGAGGTATGGCTGCGGCCAGGTGGTACCGTCTTCGACGCCTGCCACACGTCCTCGGCCGAGCGTTTCAAGGTCCCTGTTGGGCAGAAGCTCCGCGTAGACGCCGCCCTCGCCGCCGAAATTGATCTCTGTCTCGAAAAAGAGAGAGTGCAGCAGCGGCGAGAGGTCGTGGATGATCTCGGAGCCGATGCTCAGCTTTGACGGCAGAGACGGGAGCGGAGGTGATGGAGCAATCATGGAGTTTGTCGTCCTCCACTTACAGGTGCACTGTACAGGATTGGTGGCAGCAAGGCTCAGCGATGAAGCCAGCGCTGCTGAAGCTGTGTTGAATCATGACCAGCGCGAGGTTTTGAATTCTTTTTGCTCTCTGAATTCTTTTGCCAGTGCGCGCCAGTCCCGTGCCCAGTGTTGTGCGAGGGAGTTTTGTTGTAAAATTCTTTTGGATCTTGGTCAGTCGTGTGTCAAACCCGCCTCCGACCCTTGCCGTACCAATCGCCGGTGAACGGATCGTGCGGCACGTCACCTCTCAGCACCGTGCCGCCGCGCGCCTGCACGACCTGCGCGATGGACCGACCAAACGAGCCGCCGCTGACGACGAAGCAGCGCGCCTGTTGGGAGCAGGTCCGAATTTCGACCCTGGTCCTCTGTCTTGCACAATGGCCACGTCTCGCCTGTGCAAGCGGGGTATGGAGAAGGTGCAGAGAATATCTCGCGTCATCTCACCTGAGCCATGTAGAGGTAGTCGCAGTCGACGCCGCGGTACCCGGGCAGCCGTGAGCTGCGGTGGTGCTCGACAGGCAGCCCCCTCGACGACAGCCAGCGGAGGAGCAGCGTGGTGTACTCGGCCGCAAGGCGCCGCGCCTATATACTCACAGCGCGAGCCTCCCTGAACGAGCGTCGCCGCCGCCGCGTCCTCGAAAGATCTTTGCGCCGGGTCCAGACCCGAGCTGTTACGGGTGAGGAGGGCGTCGGCGTTGCCGGCGAGGACGGCGTGAGTCGTTCCGTTTGGCAGACGGCGCAGCGCGCGATCAAAAAACGCCCGTGTTTGGATGTAGCGCTCGTGAAAGGCCTCGCGGAACGCGTCGCCCTGCTTGTTCTTCCCCTCCCACAGCTGGCTCGCCGTCCGGTGGGGTGGGAGGTCGGTGAAGACCTCGCCCAACCTGAGGTGAAAGACGCACGCGGACGCGCCGGGCCTCTCCCCTCCGCAGCTGGTGATGTCCGGCTCGCAATCGCTCTCGGCTGTAGCCTCTCGGCAGGCAGTCGCGTTTTGCTCGATCGCCAGCTTGTGCTCAACGGCCCGCACCAATGCAGAGACGTCGCGAGTCCGCCGCGCATACCTTGGAGGGGAGGAGGTGGCGTGTCGAGGGATCACCTCACGAGCAAGGGCTGAGCGCGCTGCAACTCGCGGCCCACCGTGCGTAGCGGTCGCCAATAGAATGCGGCCAAGAGCGGTGCGCATTGACTGGGTCGAGGCCGGCGCAAAAGAAATGTTCCAGCCCCAACGAGTGATTCGGCCCGCCGTTGCAGAGGATGAGGTCCCCGAGTCGGTACACGCCCTGAAAGCTCTTGTTGACGAACCACCGGGACATAAAGGGTGGCATGCGCACGCAAGTTGCAGTGTGATGCTTTCGATCCTCCTGGCCAAACCTCGCCTAGCGGACAGTGCGGCGTCAGGCGGAGCGCGGATGGGGGACTGCAGGAGGGCGACATGGGAGGTTCACCGCGTCCTTGTGGAAGCACATGCGCATGCGGTTGTACGTGAATGCCTTGCACCCTCTCCGTTGGCGGCAGCTCCGCCGGCACTCCTCTCGGTCCATGCTGACCGCGGGGCAGGGCTGAAGGCATGCTCCGTCCGCCCGACAGTCCCGGCGGCAAGTGAAGCCGAGCGGGTCTGCCTCGTGGAGCAGCATCGCAGAGTGATGAGCTGTGAGGGACGCAGGCCGGTTTGTAGAGATATCTCGCGCTTGCGTTTGGTATTGCTAAAAATCTCTCTCTCTCTCTCGCTTGCGTCGGCTTGCGTCGGCGGAGCGCGGGCGTTTGTTACTCGATGTTACGGAGCGGCCGTTTCCCGCTGCCAGATATTCCCCCCCAGCCCCCCCCCCAAGCCCCCCCCCCCCCCCAGCCCTGTCGAGAGTGGCTAAAAGGAAGAAAGGCGAGTCTGGAGGTAAAAGAAAAAAGTGGCATGTGCGTGTGTGCGACTGCAACGAAGGACCGCTCGCAGAGGACCATTGGGTTTGTACTATTAACAACGAAGGCGCTCTCAAAAGAAAAACGAGATGCGTCTCCGCGCGTGACTGCCCAACCAGCACTCCTCTATCGCTCCAGGTCTGCCGTCGCTACCTCACCTGCTATCCCACAGAGAGTCAGGGAGAGCACCGCGTGATGTACACGGTAAAAGGTGTGACGCCGTGGGCCGGTGCACCCTGCGGGGCACGCAGGGGTCTCCACGCCGCCCGCCTCGCATCACGGCCCCTCGCAGCCCGCCCCCGACCGCGATCCGAAAAGCCACGATTCTTGTCAGCCGCCTCGAGCCACTGGCGACAGCTGATGTAAAGGCGTGGCGACATCCCATGCCTCCCAGTTTTGCCGCCGCGCCGCCAGACGCCCGGCGCTCGCGGAAAGGCGGCGAGGCAGATTCCCCTGCGCCGTATCGTTCCGGCCCGCCCCTGATCCGTCGGGCGGCGCTGTTTTTGTCGGTGCGACATTGGCCGCCCGCGGCGAAAGGCGGCGGCCCGGGCTCCCCTCCCCTTCCCGAGGCCGCACGAATGCGCCCGCGCGAGAGCCCCGCGTGGGCAGAGGGGGCGGTGCGGGAGGCCGCGGGGTGTGCGTGGCTGGGCCGGCCGCGCGCGCGTGAGCGCCCCCACTCTTTAGTAAGCTGACGGTGCAGAGAGGCGGGGCGGCGAGTGGGTGGCGGCCGCTCTCTCCCCCTTGGCCACTGTGGCCCTCCCTGCCACTGCAGGCGGCGGGCGGCGGCGGGGCGGCGGCTTCTGGGAGCAGCGGGCAGGGCTTGGCCGCCTTCCTCGCGATGCTGCTGCGGCTCCTCCTCGCTGGCGGGGGCGCAGGCGGCGGCGCGCCCTCCGCTCGATTCGGCGCTCCCTCCTCCGCCCCATGCGGCGTTCAGCTTGCAGGGCGGGGCGGGCTGCGCGCCGCGATGTGCGAGCCTCAACACGACCTCTCTGAGGGAGACCTCTCTGAGGGAGGGGAGGTGGGGGCGTCGGTGTGCGATCAGGAGGTGCTGTCGGTGTCGGAGCGGGAGCTGCTCTCGATGTCGGACGACGAGCTCCTCGCCCTCGCCGACCGCGGGGAGGAGGCGCACCTGACCCTCACCCTCACCCTCACCCTCACCCTCACCGCCCTCACCTCGCCCTCACCCTCACCCTCACCCTCACCGCCCTCACCTCGCCCTCACCCTCACCCTCACCCTCACCGCCTGAACCCTTCCCCAACCCTAGGCCCTCGCCGACGGCGGGGAGGCGCAGCTAGTGCAGGCAGCGCCGCCAGTGTACGACGGGCCGACTCCGGCCAAGGGGCTGCAAGGGCTCGTCTGCTCGGTCGAGCCTGCCCGAGGCGGGGTCGGGGGCTCGAGGGCAGGTCCAAGACACGTCCTGGACACGCCGCCGTAGGTGGAGCTGCCCGAGGTTGGGCTGGTGCTCGAGGTCGCTGACTCGCTCGCGGGCGGCGGAGGCGCCGGGCGCGGCCTCTTCGTGCGGCTGGCGGAGGGCGTCGACTCGGTGACGCTGCCCGCAGGCGTGGCATTCTGCGGCTACGCGGCGGGCGGGATGGAGATGGCGGCAGACTCGGAGGGCGGCAAGACGGTCGGCTTTGCGCTGCGCTCGGCCGACACCAGCGTCTTCTTCGAGCAGCAGCTGTGGAGCGTCGCCGACCTCCTCGCGCCAGGCAGCGGCGTTCGCCACATCGCGGGCCACGAGGTGGAGCGCGACGCGGGCGGGCGCGTGCAGGCGATCTCGCCGGACCCGGACTGGGGGGGCGCGCGCTATTTTGTGCCGAGCCGCGAGCAGGGCGACCTCTCCATCATGAACATCGGGCAGATGTCCAACGACCTGGCCATGTCTTTGGCGGGCGGCGCCGGCGGCGGCGATTCGCAGTACAGCGCCGAGTCGCGGTCGCGCAACGTGCTCGTGCTCGTGCAGCGCCTCGAACGAGACCCCGACCGACCGAGTGTGGCGCGGCCGAGCCGGCCAGTCAGCACGCTGGCGGCCGACGTCACCTTCAGAAACAGCGCGCCGATGGAGCTCGGGTGTGAGTACGGGGAGCGCTACTGGTCGCGGAGAGCAGAGGCGGGAGAGGATGGGTTCAGCTGAGGTCTACAGGTCTTTAGCGTGGCGTGGCTATTTTCTTTACGTCGAACAGAGTAACAACAACGACCTCAAAACAACGAATGACCTCGTATAATGAATCATACAGCGTCAGCGAATCCGCACCAGCTCGCTCCGGGCGAGTAGAGGCCCCGCCCACCCAGAGGGAGAAGGACTCGGGCTCTGCGTATGTGCCTTACTCGCCAGCAGAGCTCGCTCACCAGGACAGTCCAGGGACTCACCGGCTGGCGGCGCCCGCTGCCAGCCGCGAAATCTGAGGTCGCCCCGCCCGCCTGCGCCCCCGCGACGGCCCCGCAGCGGCCGGGCCGGCTGCCTTGGTGGGCGGGGCACCTCCCGCTGCCGCGTCGCGGCCGCGGACGCGCTCGGAAGCACGCCGCGGGCCTCTGCCGCGCGCCTCGAAAGCGTCGCCGCTCTCGACGCGCGGAAGAGCCGGTCCCATGCGTCGGTCCGAGCGTCACGCACCCCCGTGCTCGGTCGCAGGCACCTACTCGACGGTCGACGAGCTCGCCGGCATGTCGACCGCGCGATACGCCACTCCTGATCCCGATGACGACGGCTACGACGAGGACGTGCCCGCCGACCCCCCACCCCCTGCCGCCGACGACGATGCCGCGCCGGACGACGAGCCTGTGGTCGGCGACGCCGACGGCGGCGGCGGCGGCGGCAGCATGGGCAAGGCGCGGCGCTGGGCCAAGAACTTGCCCGACCCGTCGTGCTGCCCCGCGCTCCCGCTGCTTCTGCTCGCGCTCATCGGCACGGTCGCGTTTGCCTTCTCGCGTCCGCCCGCGGCGCTGCTGCAGTGTGGACCAGCCACTCCATTGACGCTGCTGCTGGCGCCTCGACCCGAGGCGCAGTCAAGGACAGGAGCAGCGGCGAGAGGCAGCGAAGAAGTGGCACGGACGCAGCGAGCGCGCAGAGGCAGAGCACGAGTAGTCGAGCAGGAGAGGCGGCCGCACGTGCGAGCACGAGCACTGGTGTGCGGGACCACGTTGGTCGCATGTCGAGCTCGGACCTGCGCTTCGGGCCTTCGGCTTGGACACAGTTTTGTAGAGAAACGCGAAAAACGGCCGGGTACCAAGCGTGTACCCCTTCAACCCCTGTCCCATTCGCCTCTCTTATATGCCAGGACAAGACGGGCGCGGAGCCCGCACTCGAAGGGGCTACTAGCCTCTCTCGACTGAGGCTTTTCTTTTGACTACGCCGCCCTCCCCCCCCCACCACACACACACGTACACGTAGAGCTAACAGCTAAGAGCCTGGCGTCGGTGCTAAGCTGTGGCTCACGCGACACTGCCCCCGGACGTGTGAGGCGCAAGCGGATGTTGAGGGCGATGTTTGCAACCTAACGGAGGCGAGTGTAGCGGTGCGCTGTGCCGGCGCCGGTGCTGATGTGACTACTCCAAGAGACCGTGTCGATTGAAGACTACTCATGACAGAGTGAGAGAGTGTATGTGCGGGTGGACGTGGGCGAGAGGCGTGATGTGGGATGGCGCACCGGTCGCGGTGGTGCGGATGAGTGAGCCGCCGCGCAGCCGTGAGGTGCTCGATGAGTGAGCCGCCGGGACAGAGCCGCACCTGCGCAGGCAGCAAAGGTGGGCGGCGTGAGCGCGCGCGGTGCCGCGCTCCACGGTGTGCGAGAGTGCCGGGCCGGGCGTGCCCCCATCAGCGATGGAAGCTCAAAGCCGGCACAGAAGCTCCGACACGGGCGTCTGCTGGTTGCGCGTGTCGACGAGCGGGCCCGAGCGAGGCCGCAGAGGAGGAAGAACGTCGGTCGTGCGAGCGCTGAGGACAAACGGACGGCTGAGTGAGGGACGGCAGTCATACCGGCAATAGTCGGTGTGCGGCGGCGGTCGCTCGGGGGCGGAGGCCGGCGGCAGGGAGAGAATCGGGCGAGAGCACGGAGCACGCCTGCCGTCGAGTGAGAGCAGACATCTACAGAGAGCACGTGCGGCCGCGCCGGGCCACCGAGAGGCGCACCTGGCGCAACTCGAGCGTAAGTGACCGTGGCGGCAGCCGCTCAGCGCTCGAGGCGACCATCCGGCCGCCGGGCGTGCCTCTGGCGCCGACTCGGCGCCGTCGGCGACCCCGCGCGGGCCAGAGTCATGTCGAGCCGGGGCTGAGCCGGCGGTGGCGGACGCTTGGATGCACGCTCCGGGGGGCTGCCGGGTCGGATCGGCCTTTCGGGCGCCGCCGCAGCGCCGCGGAGGCACTGTTCTGGTGAGAACACGCGCCACTGAGGCCGACTGAAGTTGCACGCCCAGGCCAGCCGGTATGCGGCCGCACCCGCTCGTTCTTCTGCTTTCGCTGCAAGGTGCAGCAGCCGCGCTGCATCAAGCACCGCGCGTGAGACCAAGGCGCTCCAGCCTGGCCACGGCCGTGCATGATCCACGGGACGACCACACACTGCACGATCCACGGGCTGAGCATATTGCCTCCCGCCGCAACCTTGTCCTCACGGCACTGGCGGCTGCCGGGCCCGTCACCGCCATCGGAGGATACGGGCTGCTTGGCAGCGGCGAGGCGCGCAACGCCGCCGTGCGCGCTGCCGAAAAGGAGTTTAGGCACTGCGCTGCCGCTGCAAAGGAGGAGGGTGGGAGGGCGCTGCGGGCCTTGCGCGAGGCGGACGCGGCGAGGAGACTCGCCGAGACGGCGCGGCTAACGGCGGAGGACGCGGCGACTCTGGCGGCGGAGGAGGGCTCCGAGCCGGCCAAGAGGCTCGCAGACGCGGCGAGGCTGGCGGCGGAGGAGTCGGCCAAGCTGGCGGCAGAGGCGGAGCGCCTCGCGGCCGGGGCAGCGGCGAGGCGTGAGTCGGCGGAACAGCGCCTCGCGGCCGCCAAAGAGGCCCTCCGAGAGCGCAAGGCCCGCGCCAGCACCGATCTCGCAGCCCTTCCGCGTGCACCGCGTGCAGAGGGCCACCCTGTGCAAGCGCTCGCCACCTCTGCTGCCCTTACCGCCGCCTTTGGCTGCGGGGCCGCTCTCACCGGCCTCGCACTCGCGGCCGGCCTGCAGCTGATTCGCGACCGTGGCAGTCGCGCTTCTGCGGACGTCGCGACGGCCGCGGCTCCAGCACCGCCGCCGACCCCACCGCCGATGCCACCAACACCGGCGCGAGCTGTAGCGCGACCACCGGCGCCACCGCCGGCGCCGAAAGCAGTGGCACCACCGCTGCCCTCACCGCCGCCGCCGCTGCCCTCACCGCCGCCGCCGCTGCCCTCGCCGCCGCCGCGCTCGCCGCCACCGCGAACACCGCTGTCCTCGCCACCACCGCCACCCGTGCCGCCAGAACCGCCGCTGCCCTCACCGCCGCCACCCTCGCCGCCACCGCCGCCGCCGCTGCCCTCGCCTCCACCACCGATGCCCTCACCGCCGCAACCCTCGCCGCCACCGCCGCCGCCGCTGCCCTCGCCTCCACCACCGATGCCCTCACCGCCGCCACCCTCGCCGCCACCGCCGCCGCCGCTGCCCTCGCCTCCACCACCGATGCCCTCACCGCCGCAACCCTCGCCGCCACCGCCGCCGCCGCTGCCCTCGCCTCCACCACCGATGCCCTCACCGCCGCCACCCTCGCCGCCACCGCCCCCGCCGCTGCCCTCGCCTCCACCACCGATGCCCTCACCGCCGCAACCCTCGCCGCCACCGCCGCCGCCGCTGCCCTCGCCTCCACCACCGATGCCCTCACCGCCGCAACCCTCGTCGCCACCGCCGCCGCCGCTGCCCTCGCCTCCACCACCGATGCCCTCACCGCCGCAACCCTCGCCGCCACCGCCGCCGCCGCCGCCGCCCTTCCCACCGCCGCCGCCTCCCTCACCACCGCCACCGCCGCCACCGCCGCCGCCGCCGTCGCCCTCACCACCGCGACCGCTGCCCTCGCCGCCACCGCCGCTGCCCTCGCCGCCACCGCGCTCACCGCCACCGCCACTGCCGCCGCCGCTGCCGCCCTCACCGCCGCCACTCTCGCCCCTACCGCCGCCGCCGCCGCCGCTGCCCTTGCCGCCACCGCCGCGCGCGCAGCCGCCCTCGCTTGACGCCGAGGCGGCTGCGAGGGAGGCGCTCCTTGGGAAGCTGCAGCTTCCCTTGGGTGGCGAGACGTCGGCGGCTGCGGCGGCGGCTGCGGCTGCGGCCAAGAGCGAGCGGCCTGCGAAGCTCGATGCCGCAGCGCCTGCTTGCGGAGGTGGCTCCGCCTCGACGCAGCCGAAGGCGGCGGAGGAGGCGTGGTCGGCGTTTGTGCGGCAGGCGACGCAGGGGAGCGCCGAGGCGCGCGCAGAGAGGGCTGCACGGCTCGCCAAGTTGCCACAGCTCGACGCGCCGACGTGGGGAGAGGCGGCGGCGGTGGTGGCGGAGGCGGCGGCGGCGGCGGCGGCGGAGGCGATCCTGGAGGCCCGCTGCGACGCGGGCGAGGCCGCAGCGTGCACGCTGCTATCGGACAAGGTGGCGGAGCGAGCGTGGCTCGCGAAGCTCGACGCTCCGACGTGGGCGGCGGTGGCGGCGGCGGTGTCCGAGGTGGCCCGGGCCGTTGCGGCGGCCGGCACGGACGCGGAGGCCGCGGAGGAGGCTGCGCGGCAGGCTTGGACCGCGTGGCTAGAGACGCCGGTGTGGCGCACGGCGGCGGCGGCGCTGGATGGGGTTGCGGACGTGGCGGCGGCAGCGAGCGATGACAAGGAGGGGGGGGAGGCGGGCGAGGCGACGCGCCGGCGGCTCGGTGCGCTGGACATGCCGACTTGGGCAGCGGCGACGGCGGCGGTGTCGGCGGTGGCGTCAGAGGTTGCGTCGGAGCCGGCAATGGGCGCCGAGGAGATTGCCGCGGCAGGCTGGCTCTCGAGGCCGGGGGAGATGCCGCCGTCGGGGGGCGCAGAGGCGCTTGCGGCCGCGCCGAGCAGCGAGGGTGGCGTCGCGCCGCAGCAGCACCACGTTTTAGACGTGCCGGCGTCCGACCGGCGACCGCACGGCGCAGCCGGGGGAGGCGCGCCGCGAGCGCCGGCGCCGCCTTCGGCTGCCCCACGCGACCGAGGCGCGTCTCCTATGCCGGCGCCCAGGCGCAGGGCGGCGGAGACACCGACTCCGTCGGCGGCGGCGGCGAGGACGCGGGCGACCTCGCAGACCAACCGCGGCGAGGACGCGCAGACCGAGGTCTGCCCCATGTGCGGGAGTGGCATGGGGATGGCGACCAACCACGGCCACCTCCCCCTCTGGCTGTGTCAGAAGTGCGGGTACTCGAAGCGGCACTCTGAACGACCGAGCTGGCGGGTGAGCTGACCCCGGTGACCCCGGACTCCACCGGTGAGCGCGGTGTGCGCGGTTGCGACTCCCTGTATCAGCGACTGTGTTGTCTGTTGACGATCTTTGTGTCTCTCTTTTGTCTGTGGCACGCCCCGCAGGAGCTGAGGGCGGAACGCGAGATCGTGCGCGAGTGCCGTTATCGACCCCCCCTCTTTCTAGTTTTGAAGGTGTCGTACGTTGCGGGCGGCCGCGGGCTGGGTGTGGGGTAAAACATGACGCCCGTTTTTAATATGCGGGTTTATCGGCGAGACCCCCGCCCTGCCCCCTGCCCCCTGCCCCCCCCAAGTAGCAGCCCCTTGGAGTGTGAAGGCTTCGTAGCCCTCCGGTCTCCTGGAGGGCGCTTGGGTCTAAATTTAGTGCGGTGTGAAGTGTTTATCTACTGCATCTTTAGTGCACTTTAGCGCAAACGAATTTAGCGCAAATAATTTAGCCCAAATTTAGCGCAAATTTAGCGCGAGTTCACTGCGACTTTACATCCAGATTTAGCGAGGTTTAGTGCGTCTTTAGTCCAGCCGCGCAGTAGGATCCAGCCGCAGCCCCTCGCTGGGCCTCCCTCCCCCTCTCCCCCTGCAGTTCCCTGCCCACTCGCAAAAGTTCCCCGTCCCATCCCCAACCGAACAAGGTTCTTCAGCTGAATATCAACATCCAAGGTGCTTTCCGGCTGCTTCTCCGGGCCCGCCGAGCGAGCGGCAAAACGTTTGCCAAGCGCGGGGCGTGAACATAACGACTTTACTGCGATGGCAGAGACGGCCGAGCAGACGAGGGTGGCGCTGCCGTGGCAGCAGGGAGAGGCGAGGGGCACGCTCAACCTGCCGGCGTCGACCAAGGTGGAGGACCTCAAGCTGTGCCTCAACGCGAGCGACTGCGCCGCGGTGATGTTTGACACGGTCATCATCGAGGTGAGGAAGGGCGGCTTTGAAAATCCAAGACCGACCCTCACCTCCACTCTATTACAGCTGGTGGTCACGGGCACAGCATGGGTTGTGCGGTCGGAGGTGGTGCTTGCGGTGGCGCATTCAACTGTGCTGGTCCTCCTCTCGGGAATCGGTGCTGTGCCTGTGCTCAGTCGGGAGATCTTGCTCTGGAGGGCTGCATATCTAGCCTCACTGGGAGCCTGCCTTTGGGTCATGAGGGCAGGGGCCAGGCATCTCTTGTGGTGCATTCTTGGCAGCCAAGGAGCAAAGCACGCGGCCCTGGCTAGCTGTGGTGTGGCCGGGAAGCCGTGCTAAAGATGCGTGCCCGCACTAAAGATGCGGGACCCCCACACTAAATGTACTGCAGCTGCCCGCACCTAAAGTGAACTAAATGTGGCGCTAAATGGAGATAAAACACACTAAATATGTGCTAAATATGTGCTAAATATGTGCTAAATATGTGCTAAATTCGCGCTAATCACGCACTACACACGCACTCGAACACACACTAAATAGCGCACTAAACTATCACTAAATAATAATAATAAAAACGGACACCTCTCGACTGTGAGATGGGTAAAAAGGAACAGGCCCCCGCCCGTTCATTCACACGCACTAAATTTAGTCCCAAGCGCCCTCCTCTACTAGCCCCAGCTAGAATGTGGGGGCGAGAGCCTCGCAGGTGCTCACATGACCTGCACCTCCGTGCGGGTGTTTGCGGCCTAAAGGTGACCGAACAAAGGACCCCCCCCGCCCATACACATCCAGCCCGGGGTACGCGCCGCGCCAGGTCGGCAGTGGGCGTCCCAGGGACCGCCCCGCGAGGTCGAGGGTCGCAGTGGTGGTCTACCGTCACCCCGCCAGGGGCCCGGCGGGTTCGGCTTAGGCCTCCTCTGTTATTGCAACAGCCCCGTCGGAGGTAGACCGCTCGTCTAGCCGATCAGCCTTAAGCGAGCGGTCTGGCCGTTGGAATGGCCGAGTTTGGTGGACTTGCGTCCTCGCATCGATCGTGATTACAAGCATTGTTACAATTCAATCACGAACTCTGACCGTCAGCTGGCCACTCCGGGGCGAGGGACCTCCTTAGTAAGCCGGCACGCTGTGCGTGCGCGGCCGTTCAGAAACTTTCCCCCGCCCCACACCTCTTTATCTCTCTGCGCGATGTCTCTCGTCGTATTCCCTCTGGGCTCTGGATGTCCGAGGCGATTGCTGCGTCCGCTTGCGTTGTCGCAACTTTTGTTTCGGCGTCATCGGCTCCTCGCCCTCGTGATGCTGCTGGCTCGCCCCCCCTCCCTGACTCATCGAATCGCTACGTTCATTCTCAAAGCGCCCTCGCTTCCTCGGCGGCTGGGGCGCCTCGTCCTCTGGCTGTTCCTCTTCTACGTCCATCACTGTAAATTCGTCGTCTGCCTGGCTGCCTTCGTTTGGATGGCCCGTTTCGGGTGGTTGCTCGCTCGGTCCTGGCTCTGTTGTGCGGTCGGGCGTCTCTTCGACCTCGCTCCTCCCTCCATCTTCGTCGCCGTCGTTGCTGTCTTCGGGGTGTCTGTATCCGTCCCCGCCGCCGCCTCCTTGTAGGAGTTCGAAGCGAAGTCGGTCTAGAAATCGTTCTGTCGCGATTCGGTTCCATTTGGCTCGTCTGGGTGTGCGTCGGCTGCCCTGGCTGCTCTGGCTCTCCTCGCTCTCGCCCCCCTGACTCTGCTGGCTGTACTGACTCTGGCCCCCCCCGCCCTCCGCCTCTTCCTCCGTTGCCATGTCGGGAAGCTCGAAGAACGCATCGTCGTTAAATGCCATCTCGTCGTCCGCCGAGGCGCTCTTGTCTCTCTCGTCGTCCCCCTCGTCGTCGCACGTCTCGCTCCCTTGCGGCTCGCTCTCCATCGAGTTCGTCGTCCCGTCTTCGGGCGCCGGATTGTGGACGGCCTTGTCGTGCTCGGCCGTGTTCCACGGCTCGACCCCGGCTCCCTGCGCCTCGCGCACCGCATCGAGGGTCCGCTGTGACACTTGCCTCTCGCGCCCGTGCCGAAACCGCAGTAGACTGAGGTGCCCGATCTGGTATGCCTTTGTGCCTTTGAGGGCTCGCGGGCCTCTCGGCACCCCTTTGTCTGCCCTCGGCTTGCGTGGCTTTGGGGCGTCTCCACGTTGCTGCCCCTCTCTACGCCGCTCGTCTCGTACGCCGATGAGCTCTCGCGCCATGGCTGCGAGGCTGTCCCCGTGGCACAGCCTCCCCTCTCGACACGAGGGCGAGCATCCGAGCCGCACCACCTTGGCGTTGCCTTGGCTTTTCTGTTTATTTCTCTTGACATCTCTCTCCCCTGTCTATCAGTCAGTCAGCGAGGGAGGAAGGAACTCACTCACACCCTGCCCCTCTCCTAGCCCCTCTCGTCCTCGGCCGGCAGCTCAGGTCATGCGCCGTCGTCGCTGCCCGCCCGTTTGCGACCACCACTCTCCACCCGAGCAGCATGCACCTGCGCCCTCGGGGCGCGATAAACCCGCCGTGAGCTCCATGCGCGCCTGAGTGAGGTGGTGGTCGCTCTCGCGTGACTCCACTCAAGGGGGGGGATCGGAGAACAGCCAATGGCGACGCCTACGCGCGTCCAGCCGGCGCGCAAGGCGAAGGCGACGCCGCCGCGCGATGTGATACGTGGAGAGCATGGCGCGGATACTCGATTTGAAGGACCGGACCTGCTCTCCACTTATCTGCTCCTCTGGTCCATCCAGTCTTTCGTCACGGTGAAGCGCTACTTGCAGGACGCCATCTACTTTTTTCTCGGCTCGTCGGTGGTTGCGACGCCCGCGCTCTCCTTCGAAGCTCTCACGGGGCCCATCGGCGTGCTTGCTGCGGCGACGCAGTCGCTCGGTGTGGGCGTGCTCGCGCACCTCATATTCGTCGCTGCCAAGCTCAGGCGCCAGCCGCTTCAATTCAACAGCGACATCTGGTGCCTCGCGACCGACGCTGCCGTGCTGGTCGTTGGCACCGTGCACCTCGCGCGCCGGGACAGCCGCCGTCGCGGAGCCGCCGCCGCCGGCACCCGCCGTGACGACCTCGTGCTCGCCTTCGCACCGGCCGTGCGGTGCATGTTCGGCGCCTTTTACCTTGGTGCGGGCCTGTGGAAGCTCAACACGTCGCACCTCGGCGCGTCCACGTCGTGCAGCGTCATCTACCTGATCTCCATGCTCGACGCCTACGCACCGCGCGTCGCCGACGCCAGCCCGCGCCTGCTGCGCCTCGTCGCCGACTCGGCCGGCGCCCTCACCTGCGTGCTCGAGACGTCGATTGGCTTGCTGCTGCTCGCGCCCTCCCGCCGGCTGCAGCGCTGCGGCGTCGCGCTCGGCGTGGTGCTCCACGCCGGCATCTGCTTCACGCCGCCGCCCAACAACATTGGCTCCTTCTCGGCGGTCGCGGTCATGCGCTACTTTTGCGCCGTTCCGCACGGGGCGCATCGCGCCGTGCTCTGGGCGCGCGGCCGCGCCCTCACCGTCGGCGCCGCGCTCGCCGCCACGTGTGCCGTCGCCAGCGGCCGCGTGCCCGGCGCTATCGACGACCTCCAGAGCGCCGTCTTTGCGGCCATCTCCGCGGTCCTGCTCGCCGGTTGCGTCGTCGAGGCGCGGGCAGCAGACGGCGACCATAACGACGACGCAAAACGAGCACCGCGGCCGCCAGCGCCGCCAGCGCCGGCGGTGAAGCGCGCGCAGCGCGCGTGCACGGCGATGGCGCTCGTATACGCCTTCGGCCTGCCCGTCCTCGGGCTGCAGGACATGGGCAACGTCCACATGTTTGCCAACCTCCGCACCCACGGCGGCTCCAACCACCTGCTGCTGCCGACCGGCCTGCTGCAGCGCTGGGCGGCGGAAGCGGCGGCCGCGCCCACTGACGACGCCGGCGGCGTCGGCGGCGTCCACGTGGACGCCGGCCCGTTTGCGGGCGGCGTGGTGCGCGTCGACGCGACCACGTCCCGCTGGATCCGCGGCATCTACCCGCTCGAGGTGACGCCCGTGCTGCGGCCCACCGCCACCGCGCGGCTGCGCGCGCTCGGGCACGCCGGCCGCGAGTTCCTACCGCTCGTCGGCCGCGTCTACGGCCCGCGGCCCGACGTTGACGGCTCCACACGCGGGCCGGAGGACGACCGGGGCGCTCCCAAGGCAGCCGCAGAAGAGGCGAAGGCGGCGAAGACAAAGACGGCGGTGGCCGACTCGAGCAACCCGAGCGTGCCGGCGGAGGGGCGCGTTCCGGCGCCGGCGTACACGGTGCACGCGCTCGAGCTCCGCCGGCTCATCTCCGAGGCCAGGCAGCGCGACACCAACTTCTCCATCACCTACGCGCGGCTACCGAGCCAGTCGGGCGGCGGCGGCGGCATTGACTGGGCGAGCGCGGCCACCGCCGGCACTCCGGTGACGTACACGCACCAAGCCGGCGTGGGAGGCGGCGAGGAGCGCTGCGTCGTCAACGCTAGCGGTCGTGCGTGCGCGGCGGACGAGCCGGCGCTGCTGCCGTGGCCGCCTGCGGGGCCGCGGTGGGCGGTGGCGCTGCTGCTGCGCGTGCTCGTTTTTTACCCGGTGCCGGTCCTGCCCGGCTTCGTGGAGATGGCGTGCTGCGATGGCTGAGTAAGTGAGAGATGGCGGAGTGAGGTGTGCCTCAGTGTGAGCGGAGGAGGTGAGACACCGCGGTGGACGGTGTGCGACCCATTTGTGCTTATAGACACGACTGCCATTGCGCATTGGGGAGCTCGCCTCGTGAGCCCGATGCTCGCGGCGGAGAACGTGCGTGATAGTCTGTGAATGAAACTTAAGCTCAAGATCATCGCCGAGCGCCCTGACTGCCCATGCGCGCGAGGCTGTGTAGGCATAGCCTCGAGAGTGCCAGCAGCCAATCCGAGAGGCAGTTTGTGACGGCATTGCGTCAGAAGCGTGCATGCAGCTGGAAGGTGGAAGGACACCTTCCTACTGGCCGTACGATCAGGTCGTCACTGAATGCTTGATACTAAGGCCGCGAGCTATGCAGGTGATCAATTGTGCAGCATGGCACGGTCAGCAGCGCCGACAGGCTGTCGCAAGGCGTGATAGCATGGCCGCACAAGTACGCCGAATTCCCATGAGAAAACAAGTGAAACATCGCAAAAAAGAAAAAACTGACGAAAAAATCGGCGCCTGCGGCAGGCCATCGGACCCCATCTCCCCCCCGCATGGATACCCTCTAGGGCCCCCGCGCCCCCCCAGAGCTCCCAGTGCGCACTAGGCGCATATGCTAGTGCTATCCTGCCCTATGGGAGGCAGAGGGATGGGGGGAGGGGGGGACCTCTGAGGAGCGCCCCCGGACGGGGTCGGGGAGGGGGGACGCGCCGCGGGCTGGGTGTGTATCTGTATCTGTTCTGTAAAACATGACGCTGGGTGACAGTGACGCACGCGTGCCGCCTGGGCTGAGTCGGCGTCTCCGTTTGCCTCTCGACATTTTTAACACAAGAACAAGGACCGTACTTCCACAGACACCTCACACCTCCCCGACCGTCAGGGACATCTTCCCACCGGCGAGGCATCGTGAGGGGCGCCGGCAAAGAGAGGGAGCCTAGAAGATGGCCGGGGGCGCGGCGCCGCCCAGGCCGCCGGTCGGGTAGAGCGCGTCGACGCCGAGGAGCTCGTGCACGAGGCAGCCGGTGATGCCGAGCATGGCGGCGCGGCCGTTCTGGCGCTCGGCGTTGAGCTTGAAGGTCTTGGTCTCGGGGTCGTCGTAGCGCACCCACGAGTCGATGGCGATGTCGCCCGCCTCCTTGTCGTCCGTCTGCGCCTCCGCGAGCGGCGACGCGCCCGTCTCCTGCATGCAGGTGAAGAGCATGATCTGCAGCCAGCCGAAGGTGGGGACCGCCTCGAGCGAGCCGAAGCAGGTGGTCGGCACGTCCGAGAACTTGATGCCCAGCGACGGGGAGAGGTCGCCCGGCAGCACGATGCCCGCCTTGAGGGCGATGACGTGGAGGAAGCCGAGCATGGCGGCGCGGCCGTGCTTGATCTCCATGATCTGCGGGGCGGGCGCGCGCGGCGGAGTGAGAGGTGGGTCCAGACGGCGGAGGGCGTGGGGCGGTCGCGAGGCGGCGAGGCGGCGAGGGAGGCTGGGAGAGGCTGGGGGAGGGGAGCGGGGGCGCGATGCACACCTCATAGCGGCGCATGTCGCGGGTCTCGATCAGGCCGAGCGGGTCGTAGACGCCGAGCGGCGGGAGGACGCCGAGGTCGCCCTCGGAGAACATGGTGACCGCCGAGCGGGTGGCCGGCGCGCGCATGGCGGGCGCGTTGAAGGCGGGAGCGAGGGCGACAGTGGAGAGCATGATTGTTCTGCGGCGCGGGCGGAACTTGGCGTGAGGGCGGCGCGGCGCGGAGCGGGTGTGAGTCGCGGCCGGTGTGCGGGCGGCCGCGCGAGGGTGTGGGCGAGGGTGTGGGCGCGCGGCGGGCGCGGGCGTGGCGCGCGGTGGCGGGGCTGGGCGGCGGGGCCACGGGCGAGCGGTGTGCATCTGGGACATGGGATGCCTGTTGGAATGAGGGTTCTGAGATTGCGGTGTTAATTTTGGCTGGGATCAGATTATTTTTATTCTTTTACTCCCGACAGACGCGCGGAGTGGGGCTGGCGGCTGGCGCCGTTAGCCTCTCTCCTTCGATGTCCAACGCAATCCCAAAGAGAGAGACAAACAAAAGCAAGATCAAGATCAAGAGAGAGAGAGAGAGAGAGAGAGAGAGAGAGAGAGAGAGAGAGAGAGAGAGAGAGAGAGAGAGAGAGAGATTCTCTCATATCCCAAATGAGGATTTGGGCGAGCACGATTGCGAGAGCAAGGGATCGAGGCCCGAGCGAGGAGAGCGATGAACAGAAAGAAAACACTGAGCATGGGAGGGATGGGAGGACGGCACGCACGCCGCCCCACACAGGGATTTAAGGAGATGATTGTGGCGCTGTCGTTTTTGGGAGTTCGCAAAAAAGAAAAAGCCAAGAGAGGGGTTGGAGGGCGGGAGAAGCCAAAAAAGCCGTCCGAAAAGCCACAAAAAGCCAGCGAGCCTCCCGTCACGCGATTGCCGCGAAGCGCAGCATGGTGCGTGGCCAGCTTGGGAGGCTGCCGCCGCTGTCAGAGGCGGCCGCCACTGTGAGGTCTCGAGGGCCGACCGGCCGGGCGAGCATCCGCGCTGCCGACGACGTGCTCGAGGCTGACCTTCAGAGCGACGAGATTCTCGCATGCTTTGAGGAGGCGCTCGGCGAACGGCAGCCAGAGATGGGAACGGATGCTGCAGCAGGGCGAGAGGCAAACGCCGAGAGTGCGGAGGCTGCACCGCGACTCGAGGCTGCAGCAGAGCAGCAGCGGGAACATTCCTTGCTTGCACCGACCGCGGGGCGCGGCGTTGAGCCGGTGCTGCCAGACCCGGTGCCTATGCTGCATACGAATTCCGGTGGAGGGCGCAGATCGTGCGAGCCAGATGCCGGCGCCCGTCAGCAGATCGGGTCGGCAGCTGCGAGCATTCTCGAGCGGCGCGGCGAGGCGGCGCGAGCGAAGGTGCTAGATAAGGTGCGTGATGCGGGGCGAGCAGATGGGGACCCGGCCGCCCCAGAGGAGGAGGATGGCGAGTACGACCCCGAGGTCGCAGACGTGGCGATCTCCGCGACTTTGAGAAATTTTGGCGAGCGCTCGACAGACGCGCGGAGTGGGGCTGGCGGCTGGCGGTCCTTTTTCCTTTTTATGTTTTCAATGGATCGGCAGGCGGCGGTGGCGTCGCAGAACGACAACACCAAACAAAATCTCTCAACATCAACAACAAACGAGAAAAACATAACCCAGGCGGCCCGAGGAGAGCGATGAAAAGAAAGAAAGAAAGAAAACAGACACTCAAGGGAGGGACCGCCCCACAGCTCAAACAACAAAACTCCTTCACAGCTCCAGCGTTGCGTTTTTTCTCAACCCACGTGCACATCCGTTCACGTGCACGGAGCTTCTTGAGCCACCCACCCACCCCACCGACCTCACGGCCCGGCTGAGCCTTGGAACCACCCACCCACCCCACCGACCTCACGGCCCGGCTGAGCCTTGGAACCACCCACCCACCCCACCGACCTCACGGCCCAGCTGAGGCTTGGCACCACCCACCCACCCCCACCCACCTCACGGCCCGGCTGATGAGGCGAGGAAACCCACCCACACCGACCGACCCATCCCCACCACCCAACCAACCATCCCGGCCACGGGAGACACAAGCAAGGTAGCAAAGCACCCAGCCTCGCGCGCCTTATACAGCACAGCCTGACCCACAGCCGAGGGTTAGGGTTAGGGTTAGGGTTAGGGCGGTAAGTTGTAAAATTTTCTCTTTCCCTCCCGACAGACGCGCGGAGTGGGGCGCGGTCCTTTTTCCTTTTTCTGTTTTCAATGCAATCCCAAATGAGGGTGAATTTGGGCGAGCACGATTGCGCAAGGGACCGTCCGGCTATATGACGCATGAGCCCGCCACACGCTGTGTGCCGGTGACACTCACACACACAAGAACAAATCACGACTCTCACAGTGATTTGGGCTCGGCAGCTTGTCAGCCCTCAGCCGAAGCTGGGGCCGGTCCCGTAGCCGAGAGAGCCCGCGCCGATGAGTTCGACGCGGTCGGGGGGGCCTGCGGAGAGGCCAGCGAGATGGCGATCGCTGTACTTCATGGTGTCATCAAGTGACTGGCTGACTCGCCAGAGGTCGATACTCTGGACGACCCATAGGATGCCACGAATGCCTGAAGGAGAGGGAGGCGAGGCCAGAGGCAGGCTCAGCTGCTCTCGGGTGATCTCACTTTGGTGGCTGAAGGACCCGATGGTCCTGTCACATTCGCGTTCCGAGTCGTGGGGGTAGAAGAATTCGAGGTAGAATCGAGTCAGCACTTCCTTGTAGTACAGCGGACCGCCAGGCTCGCCGGCAGCATCCGCAGGGAGGCAGCATATGAGGCACCAGTGTCTTCTGAAGAGCTCAACAGCTGCGGCCGCGATGGTAGAGTCGGCCGCGGTTCGAGCGAGCAGCTTTTGGCTGCGGGATCGAATCGCGGAAGGCTCATGCCCTCGCGGAGCGACGCGGGTCGCGCGGCGCGCGCGTGTGCGAAATGCGACAACAGACGACAGATGACAGACGCCTGAGCGCTGTACGACTGAACGACCGTCGCCGCAATCGCCACCGCCGCCATTTTGACGAGCAGCGCGAGCGCGCTCGTCGGCGGCCAGCCGTCGCGGGCCGGGCCGAGCCCGGCCTCAATCGGCCGCGCCGCCGCAGCAGGCCCGGAGGCCCACTTGGCGGCCGACCAGCTGACTTCTAAAATCACACACACACACACACACACACACACACACACACACACACACACACACACACACACACACACACACACACACACACACACACACACACACACACACACACACACACACACACACACACACACACACACACACACACACACACACACACACACACACACACACACTGCATAATGTTCTTCTTGGCAGGTGTGTGTTCTTTTTGCTTGGCCGTACATCATGACGGGGTAGGTAGGGTAGGTCTGGGACCTCCCGTCAGGTTTTTCCCTCTATTCACGCTGGAATTTTCACACCAGAAACA